TTCCTATTCTGCCTTGTTGAGGCAAAACGGCATATAAGTCTTGCAGCGCTGCCAACATTTCCTCCGATGAAATTCGATTTTTTTTTTTAAAAGAAAAAAACAAACAAACTAGGGAACTCGTTTTTTGGTAATTTGTTCAGAATATCGCAATGTACTTAAGTATCTCAAAATGCCAAGAGAAATTATTCACAACTTTTCGCAAAAATAAATATTTCATCGAGAGAAATTTGGCAACTCTCAAATGTTCATACGACGTTCTTCCTTAGCTCGGCTGTATTTTCCTTTTTCAAATTCTACGCGTCGTAAGAGCGTCCGCACGCTACGAAATTTTCCCTGATAACTTGCGGAATTTCTTGAAGTCTCGTGGGTACCTCTCGCAGAAATTTTTTGGAAAATTCGTTCACGCTTCAATCAAGCGAGCCTGAAAGTTGGAGGGGAAAATACTCATGAATTTTCTTAAAATAAATACCTAAATGGAAGAACTTCGGCAGCGTTCGAATGTTTTTACTGTGTTCTTCCTGAGCAGGGAGGTGCGACTGTCGGCGGTCGCGCGATCGTGTAGGAGGATTCGCGACTCCAAAAGCTGGCACAATGAGTCTTCAAAAAGTTTTGAATTGAGATCTCTTAGAGGGGAGGGAGTAACTTTTTGAAGGAGCCCGAGGAAGAGAAGAGGACATTCATAAAGAGAATATAAACATCTCGCTCCATACAGCATTGCAGACTCTTTAGAAATTAACAAGGCGGTGACTGCGGGAAGGAGGAAGTTTGTTGCAGGGAGCATGTTTTTATGGACTGATCTAACCATGTGCCGACCAACCTGGCCATGATAAACGTTTGTCTTGAAAGGAAAAAGGACCTCAGAGTTGGGTATTGAAGTAGTCGGATTTTGAAAGTTCCACAGAGAAGTCTCGTCAGGGTCCTATAAAATGAGTTGCGGGTGAATAATCCATGAATATCCATCATTTTGGCGCCAAAAGCGGGAGATAAGTTGCATTTTAATCCGGCGCATTTCGTGACCTGAACATGACAGATTATAATTACAAACAAATTCACCGACTTTAAAGTCGAGACCACCGTAAATTCGGAATAGTTTGACATTTTTAACAGTTTTCCCCCACCAAAATGTTTGTAGAACGCTCCTCTATATTCTGGTTCAGTTTTGATTTTTTGAGGTCTGGGATCTCTTTGCCAATGAACGATCACAAAGTGAATCAGTCGCTCAAGCAAAAAGTTTTAAATTTCCACTTTTCATTTGTTTAACACACCTCACGTGTTAAAAACAAGCCAATCAACGGAGAGTAGCCCAGGGGAGCGTATTCTGACGCTTTAGCGTATACCTACCTCGACGATTCTAGCTACCTAAGTACCATTCCTATGGTGCACTGAGAAAATAATTGGTAGAATTTACCATTCCTTCACGCTGTATTTCACACAGCGTGAATTCAAAGTCGATTCAAAGTCTGGGGTCTCTTTCCCAATGAACGATCACAAAAAGAATCAGTCGCTTAAGCAGAAAAATTTACAATTCCACTTTTCATTTGTTTATAACTGTGCCCTGCCAGAGGAATGGTTACCTGTACCAGTCAGTATATAGTAACGTTAACCTTCTTTCTGGCAGAATTGACTCTGAATTGACGCTGTGCGAAATACAGCGTGACGGAATGGTAGATTCTACGGCCTTGTCTCCACGAGCCGTTTCACGAGATATGTCCCAGGGAAAAATCCCACTTACGAAGTTGGGAAAAATATTGAGTTAATCAATATTTTTCCCAGTACCATGTATGGTACATGTACCCCAAGGACCCACTGAGAGAAGAAGAGGAAGTGAAAACGAATTGTGCGATATTTTATTCATTACTACATAATTCATGTTTGTTTAGTTGGAATAATGTGTCTAATTGTCCATTGAGTGCAATTATTATTCTAATCCCGGTTAAATACTCGACTTTAACTAATTTATCTTCCCGCGCAAACTAGTCGCAGGACTGTATGAGCCCCGTCCCGTGGAGACGATAACTGGGAAAAATCCCAAAAGTTTCATTCCTGCGATTCGAACTAGGGACAAATCCCATGAAAACGTCCCGTGGCGACAAGGCCTACCAATCTTTTTTTTCAGTGTGAGAATGGAAAATCGGGCGGGGAAAATAGGAAATCGGATTCGGTTTTCCGGTATCGCGAGACACGAGACAATGTTCAATGTCTACACGCCGCGCCGCGCCACGTGCGCGTAACGCGGGCTCGATGCGCTTGCGAGGCGTGAAAATCGGCGAATTTAAATCAGGCGGCCGCAAAACAATCGGACGAATGCAAGACGCGGCAGCCAAGGTTACGGTCAATGTCAAATGCACCTGTGCTTAACCCATCGGGCCACAGCATAACCGAAGCTCTCCGATACGCAATGACCGCTCATAATTATGTATTTTATTACGTAATATATATGAAAGAATGTAATCAGTAAACGTAACTATTATTGTACGAGGTACGAAGGTGCCCTGCCAGGGTCGGACTGGCTCGCATCTGAGGGCGCAGACCCTTGGCAGGTTAAAAGGGGCGTAGTGTGATATTTCTCGGTAAGGCAACCTCTACGTAGAGGGGGGTTCAGACAATTTTGGCAAAGCAGCACCATTTTGCGCTATTTTCAGGTTCAAAGTTAATTAATCGTACAGAATAAAAATTGCAAAATTGAACGTATTGAAGTAACCGACAGACTTCTGAAATTAAAGCCACTAGACGCGACCAAGCACCATTGTTTCCAAAAGAACCGAGCCAGTGCTACGGTTTACACGAGCTTAAGACGTGGGTCTGCAAATCCATCCTGAAAAAGAATCTGACATGAGCCTAAAAAATGAAGAAAGAATCGTATCAACACAGCCGGAGACGAAAGAGACGTGTTCGGGCCTCTTTTTTTTCTTTTCTTCCGAATCTGAGCGACAACTCATTGACAGCATATGGTATAGCAGAGCATTGACAGTTCACAGATCGCGTCATCGCGCCTTCAATTTTTCAGATGCAGCACGGACGTCCATCAAGTATGAATAGTTGTATCTATGCGCCGTCTTAAACGCGCATCCTTTCCCTCACTCTATTTCCATATTGTGTTCGTTTCCGTCTGTCTTATTTGTAGTGGTGCTTCAAGCACTACGTGTGTGACACAACCGGAGATAAAGGACATGTATTTGGGCCTCATTTTTTGACTTTTCTCCCGAATCTCACCAACAGCATAGAGCAGAGCATTGACAGTTCACGCATCGCGTCATCGCGCCTTCAATTTTTCAGATGCAGCACGGACGTCCATCAAATACGAATAGTTGTATCTTTGCGCCGTCTTAAACGCGCATCCTTTCCCTCACTCTATTTCCATATTGTGTTCGTTTCCGTCTGTCTTAATCGTAGTGGTGCTTCAAGCACTACGTGTGTGACACACCCGGAGATAAAGGACAACGACGGTGCAAGTCGACAATCACATAACTCTGTTTGGGACGTCGCAGACTTCCTGTTATACTTTATTTTTTAAACGGAAAACTACTCAACGGCAATTCTTTAAAACTGCCGAGATTATTCTTCTCTGAGCGAAGAAAATTCTGCAAAAACTTCAAGAAATGACGTCAATTTGTTCACTTTTAAAAAAATAACATAGAGACGGAGATTTTCAGACACCGCAAACGAGTTATGTGATTGCCGACTTACACCGTCGACATGTATTTGGGCCTCGTTTTTTGACTTTTCTTCCGAATCTGAGCGACAACTCATTGACAGCATATGGTATAGCAGAGCGTTGACAGTTCACGCATCGCGTCATCGCGTCATCGCGCCTTCAATTTTTCAGATGCAGCACGGACGTCCATCAAGTACGAATAGTTGTATCTTTGCGCCGTCTTAAACGCGCATCCTTTCCCTCACTCTATTTCCATATTGTGTTCGTTTCCGTCCGTCTTATTCGTAGTGGTGCTTCAAGCACTAAGTACATGTGTGACACAGCCGGAGATAGGGGACTTGCATTTGGGCCTCGTTTTTTGACTTTTCTCCCGAATCTCACTAAGAGCATAGAGCAGAGCATTGAGAGTTCACGACTCACGCCAACGCACCTTCAATTTTTCGAACGTTCAAGTGAGAACTTTTTTTAGTTGAGACCACCCCTAATTTCACAGAAACGGGCACTGCAGTTTCTGGGGGAGAAATAGGAGAATAAATAGTGACTATGTGAGGGTCGCTCAAATAGAAACTTCTGCAAAGAGGATATGGTCCCATTCCTGCTCAAAAAAAATGAGCTGTGCCTTTTTACTAGCACTCCTTTCAGAACTACAATTTTTTCCCCGCAATGAGGAGAATGTGACAAAATTCATAAACAAGAGAAAATTTCAACGAATTTTGATAGATAGATTGAATGAATATCTGCAATTACTCAAGTATTTTTTAAATCAATAGAGAAAAATAAGAGTAAAATATTATCAACGTTTCCCACCCATGCCTAATGTGCACCATTAGGCATGCCCGCCATTTGCATTCCTTGCCCTTATCCCTCAGCAGAAAATTTACTGAAAAAGCAAGAGTGTACTCTTTGGAAGCTGACTTTCTTGGTATAGGTACATGTTAAATGTAAGGACCTCTAGAATGAGCTGCAGTCTGGAATCACTTTGAAACATGTGCCCTGTCAAATACTGTCCATTACAAAAGCTGTAATGATTGGTGCCTACTACATAGTGGATAACTACCTATAAAACTGTGCTACAGAGGCTGCAGAAAATTGAGATTGGACAAGTAGGTGTATTAAATCATTCTTATCCAATGACAGCACATCCATGTGTTCCGGGATGACTGCTGATAACAGCACATTGACCGATCTGGGAGGATAAATTCACGATGGAAGAAACAATACAAGGTATAAGCACCGCAAAATACGAAGGTACTAAGGTGAAAATCAGCATGCAACAAAAGTAAATTCTGTGAAAAGGGCTGGGTGAAAAATGATCAGGAAAAAGTGAGAAAAATAGCAAACTTACAGGTTTTTTCTTGAGTGACATGGTATCCAAAAATACAACTGCATACAGCGATGAGATCAATAGATAGTAAAAAAGCACAGCCACTTTAAAATTTAAATTATACTAAAAATTCTGCTAAAATCAAAATCTGGGAATAGTTTGCCCTGAGTGAGGTTAGGGCAAGATGACCCATTTATAGCAACAAATCGATAATTGTTGGACGCAACTCAACAGCCTTCGGCGACAGAAGTGCACAAATAGAAAACTTGCGAGTTAAAATTCAGAATCACTGTCAAAATTAACGAGAAATGAGCTAAATAATTAATTATGTGCTGATACAACTGATAACAGTAATCTTATCAATATTCACTCACTACGAGAATAACCATTCAACTTCATGGGCTCACCGATCACCAAATAAATCTTTGTTTACAAACGGCATGCGCGGGAAAACGACAACATCAACAACTGATAAACTGATAAGTGATAACGCGATCATGAAAAGTTTTTAGTACCTAGACGTTTACATGCTTATTTTAATTTGAAAGTACCATTCAGAATCGGATCCTTTTCACGTTATGCATTTTATTTGAAGTACATGGACGAATCAACAGAGGTTCCTGAGCCTTCTCAGGTGACATCACATTTAACTGCGTTACTTGGATCAGAAGTTTCAGCTCCTATTTTGTTACAGGTACACATGAACATGTCTCATCTTCCTTCAATACACAGTTCCACTTTATTCAACGTTAAGTCTCTTCGTGTGAATGATTGAAAAAATCATTCCATAGCAATGGATATTTCTATTATGTTTTGCTTGAAAACTGATCATTTAGAATTTGAACTTCCGCAACTTGAAATCATGACAGAGTCCTTGCAAAATAAGTTTACACGCCTTTCGCTGGAGACAGAAGATCAGCCACCTTGATCTTGAACTTATCTTCAATGCTTTTTTGGAGATAACTACCTTCTGCCACATTTTGATAGAGCGCAAACTTATTCGGTGCAGACTCTAGTTGAAATCTCTTAATCACAGATCTGTTTCACTTTTACAAACAACAGTTGTGTATCAAATAAACTGTCTGAAGTTTTTGCATTGGAAACTTGAGTTCAGTCAAAGCTAAGTTCATTCCTGCTGTATTCCAATGTGTTGTCACCGGTAGTTGATACAGGTTGAAAACGGTAGCAATCAGCAATATTTTGATTAATTACCAACGAAGTGTGAAGTATTCAATCCTCTGAGTAGTTCAAGCATATCGACGGTGAAACTACCAGACCCTGTATCTCAATTTGCAACGTCGCAGATTTCCTGTCATTTTTTATTTTTTAGATGAAAGACTAGGTACTCAACGTCATCTCTTAAAAACTTAAGTGATTTTTCGTCTCTATGTGAAGAAAAATCTGCGAAAACTTCAAGGAATGATATTGGTTTGTTCTCTTTCACCAAAATAATTTAGGAGCGGAGATTTTTAAGTACCACAAATGAGTTACGTGGTATGGTAGTTTCACCGTCGATATTCCTTGAAAAGACACTATTAAGTTCCTCATTCAGTGTTTTTTTTTTATTTTTCTTTTATTTTTTGGCAGATTGCAATATACTGGATTGAGCAAAGTTACAGTGTCATCTACATTCGCCCCACACCTCATACAAAGCTGCCTCCAGATATCCATGGAGTAAGCACTATTCAAGAAAACCTACAGCAGTTCTCAAATTTACTTAGATTCTTGTAAGTTCCGTAGAGTTTTTCATTTCCTACTTAAGAAAAGATGGATCAAATATAAAAGAATAAGAGCTTTAGTGGAAACAGAATTATCAAAGAAAGGAATTCTCTTGAATCTTTGAAACTTGTAAATCTATCCGTTCATTTAATGAGCAACCAAGCAATGAAATAATAAGAACACCTTACATTTAAGTGTATAAATTTGTGTGTGTAAGAAAGATGTGAAATATATTATGAAAAGTCTGCTATGCCACAAACTAAAATATGGATCCCTGTGATTTTATTGTCAAATGGCTTTATCTTATGTGAAAGACCTTCAGTGTCTGTCTATTTGCTATTTGATTGCCCTTTTTGAATCATACATTTATCATTTAAAAATACTTGTCAAATGAAAGTGAAAATAAGGTATCATCTTCAGCTCATTTGCTCCTGATTTCATCCTGTAATTTTCTTGCCCCAGGTACTTACCTAGCTGGAGTGACCTCCTGCAGTTTCTATTTTGTGTCCATGAAGCAGCAAGTGTACCACATGTAGTACTGGTAGAAAATCTAAATTTTTATTGCGCTACGGAGCCAGGTGTACCGCCTGATGAGTCCCATGCAGCATTGATTCTAGCATCCCTCAAAGACTCGGTCACAGCTTGCGCAAGGAAACTGAAAACTTCGACTCACTTGGTTTGTTCATTTGATCACGTAGCCCACAAAGACTTCAAACTTCACCCTGTCTTTGACATTTTCTTCTCAGATTCTATTTGGACTGTTAAAGAGCATCCTGATAACAAGGTCACTTTGTCAAGGTCAAGAGATATCTTCGATAAAGATGATACTGATGAGATCCTTTTTGTCAAGACTCAAGATAAGATTTTATACTTTGAGGGAATCAAAAAGATTTTTGCTCATTGGACATATCACTCATAAAAAAAATTGTCAAATCTAGAAAATTATTTAATAAAACTAAAAAGATGTCTTATTAAAGTTACTTTTCTGTTTACTTGAATTTCATTAAATTACATACCTTTTTTTATTTGAATAATCTTTCCGTGTAAAATTTAAGAACTTTGCAAAAAATGGAAATAAACTCTTTATCAAAACTTGTAGGTAGATATAAATCATGCCTGTCAAATGATGAACAAAAACAAGTTAAAGTAAGTCATTGGTGGCTCTTTTAATGTTAACTCACTTATATTGGTCAATATCTGACGTATTAAACTTATGATGTTCAGAAAATATTTACCTATCTCAAGACAGCATTATTTCATTTTATTACTTTGTTTAGATGTCAAAGCTCCTAATCTGTGATTTATCAAGAGTTAAAGTTAAGTTTTGTGTAAATACTTCTTGTTAAATTTTCAAAAACTGGATATGTTTCTCGAACTTATGTTCTTAAACTGCATTTTGCTCTAAGCACATTTTTCCATGTTCTTTTAATAAATGTTTTCAAACTTTAGAAGTAGAAGATCAAAAGTTATTTTCATCGATCCCTAAAAATGTATAATACACCTCCATTATCTCAGCTCTCAGTTCTGATTATTTTTCCAGTATTCATTTTTACTTCGTGTAAGTTGAAAAAATAACTCAGCATTGTAAGAGCTTCCTCAGAAAAATGTGGCGTATTTGGGTATTCGTTCCTTCTCTTCTCCCTTTCAGATGAGCAAACAAACTCTGTCCTTGAGAGGTATTCCCTTTGAGACTAATTTTTTTTTTTGCTTCAGTAAATTTAAACTGTCTGCTTGAAGGAAAATCTAGGAATGTGTGATTACTTATTTTCCACCCGGCAAAAAAAGTAATAATAGCACACCAAAAAAAAAAAAAAAAGCTAACTTTTCTGGGATTGAAGAAATTTGGTTTTTGACTTGAAGAAGACAAAAAGCTCTTCAGAAGCTACAGCCTCTTAGATGTGTCATCAAAGTGTAAAACTCTTACTACTTAAGGTGATCCTTCAGTACTTAGAAGAAAGGTTCGACAGTTGATTGATCGATAGATTATTTCTTGATTTTAGGATATTTTTCAGAATTTCTGAGCATCAAATCACACTGAAGTACTTCAGACATTGGTGCACAAAATTTTATTAAAGAAACTCTTTAAAGGGACTCCAAGTACCTTTGGAGTCCCTTTTACCTTGGAGTCTTGGAACGTACCGTTCCAAGAGAATGTCCCAAATCGAAAGGCAGAGCTATTTATGAAAAGCTGCGGTACCACCTTATGACTTGTACCTCGAATTGTTCAAAAGAGATAAGTTTGAATATTTCCCTTTTTTATCTCTTCTGACCAACATGCCAATACGGCATTTTTTCAAGATAAATAGTTTAAAAGATTAAGTCTTAATTTTTGTGCGTCAGATTAAGGGGAAGGTATGAATCCACCTTTTATGAAATGACACCAGTTCTGAAATTGGGCTGTTGCATCTAATGTGCAACTACCCGATTTTACACTGAAGGGGATCCTAGGAATCTTCTCCTGATTCAGACTCACCGACTCTGATACCACGGTGATCTTCTCTTAGAAAAGGGTGGATGGGGAAAAGCAAAATAAAAAATAACTGAGGTAACATTAACATAATTAAAATATGTAATACTTGATAAACGTCACTGACGAACAAAGTTACTGCCTTAGTAATTACAAAACTTAAAAATACCTAGTCAATTGATAAAAATTGATCAATTTTACCTAGTTTTCATGCATCAATTTCCTTTTTTTGTATTATTTTTTTCTTAAACTTGACTTTATGTTGTAGTCTTCTTAGAAAACAGTTACGGTTCGTCCATTGCTGGGCTTGGTTCATTAGGGCACGCACTGCAACAACACAAAACAAACATTTTTAAGACTTCTAGAATTTTAGAGAGGCAGAAAAAGGTACTTAAACTGAATTTTCGAAATTGCACAGCAATATTAGCGGACATCAGTGGCTTAGTAATGGTGGCAGGTATCAACAGAGAAACTACAGATGTGCGTATCTAGGTTAGCAATGGTGCAGACTTCCTGTCATAATCTTTTTTTAAGTAAAAAAATTCTCAACATCGCCTCTTGAAGACTTCTATGACTCTTTCTCTCCACAAGAAGAATTTATGAAAATTGAGGCACTGGATGCGAAAAGGGCACTTCTCGGTTGCAGTGTTTCAGAGTCTCCTCTAATATTTCATTCATTGTAAGGAAAGTGAATGCATCCATTTTACTACAAATTTTACTGAATATTCGTTATGAATTATGATTCTAAAATGTTCAATGGAAAGAATTCTGGAAAAACCGCCCATTAAAGTCGTCTCCAAGGGATTAATTAGCAACAGAGATTCTGAAACACTGCAAACAAGAAGTGCTCTTTTCGCATACAGTGCTTTAATTCCAAGTGGTAGTGTTTATTTTTTCTCCTTTACATGCATTCCTCTAGTTTCGCAGTCAATGCAGCAAAGGAATATTGATAGACATGGCACAGCTATAAATGATGATATGAAGAAAGGAGAGCCAGAGGTACTTAATTTCATGGCAATGTTTATCAATTCCATTTGACAATTTATTATCTTACTCAAGAGTAAAAAAATACCTTACAAGTACTTACTTGATGTAATCAATGATTTGACTGACTATTTTCTGTACTCGAGGTTCAACGTTTGGATTAAAATAAATTGCATTCAGTAGCAAGCTGACCTTTTCAACTTTCAGCATGGGGCAATATCTTGAAACTGAAAAAAGGAGAAAATTTATTATTTAGAGACAGAGTAAATTTATCATTTTTAACAGAGAAAAAAGCATATTTATATTGTGGACATGGCGCAATGAGCCTGTCGCAAACTTTTAGTCCAGGCGCCTGGTAGCTAAAAATGAGGCTACCTGGAATTTTGGGTACACAGCGATTTTTTTGGCTTACTTTATGTTTTTTGGGTCGCTGAATCCGAATCTGAAGTCTCCGCACGCGTATCTGGGGAGCATTTTCCGCTATTTTGAAAAAATGGCCTAAAAAGGCCTTTTTTTGCGGTTTTTTTGATATAGCGGCTACGGATGAGGAAAAGTCCCGAATTTAGCTAATGTTTTGAATAGCTGACAAAATTTGGAAGAAAATGGTATATAAATATGCTAGGTTTGCTCAAAAATTGAGGAACCTCGGATTTCGGAACTTTAGAACGCTTCGGAACTTGGCTGACCGCGGCGAGCCGGATCGCGCGTTGACGGGTGCGCCGCGAAAACGTGAATAGGCGCGATGTTCACGATGCTGTATCTTCCTCAATTTTTAAGCAAACCTAACATATGTATACACCATTTTCTTCCAAATTATGTCAGCTATTCAAAACATTAGCTAAATCCGGGACTTTTCCTCATCCGTAGCCGCTATATAAAAAAAACCGCAAAAAAAGGCCTTTTTAGGCCATTTTTTCAAAATAGCGAAAAATGCTCACCAGATACGCGTGCGGAAACTTCAGATTCGGATTCAGCGACCCAAAAAACATAAAGTAGACCAAAAAAATCGCTGTGTACCCAAAATTCCAGGTAGACTTACCAGGCGCCTGGACTATTTTGCTAGAGCAAAAATAAGGGTTGTACCTTATAGATAATGTCTCAAAAATCGAGATGAGCGCATCCACAAACTCTGAAATGCACTCCTAACTTCACAATCTGCAAAAGAAATTTGCGTTTTTTTAAGCTACCCGCTTCAAAAAGGATACGACAGCACAGGTGAACATTTGATTACAAGAGTTGTTCCATTCAGTCCCTGCTCAACATGGCTGACGCTTCCGCACGCAAGCTGAGGAAAGCTTGAGGTCAATCAAGGCAGATATCTATCAACGCGAGGAAAATGTGAATGTAAACACGCCGATTGACTCAAGTGGTTAGAAGCATCGTCCCATCACATGTGTTTTGACGGATTGGCGTCGGCTATGTTGAATAATGCGTAGTATCCTTGTGAGCAGAGGTTGGATGGAGTGACGCCTCTAACAAAATGTTCACCTGTGACAAGGTGTCGTTTTTGAAGCGGGACGCTTGAAAAAACGCACATTTCTTATGCAAATTTTGAAGTGAGGAGTGCATTTCAGACTTTGCCGATGCGCTCATTGTGATTTTTGAGACACTTTCTATGAGTAACAACCCTTGTTTTTGCTCTAGCAAAAGTTTGCAACAGGCCCATTGCAAAGACTGAAGCTCGACATTCCATGGTTTAAAGGAAATTCAAACCAAAATTAGAATCGTAAAATAAAGATTAAAGTGATGAAGCATCAACAATTGGGTAAAGCTAAGCAAAACAATCACACCTACATTGCAGTGTTTCAAAACCTCATCTCCTTTTTGAATTTTGTTGAAAAAAACTAACCAACATCCCAGCTAGAAAATTGTTAGAATGTGTTAGCCCAAATGAAAGTTATTTCAGCAAAATTTTGAGCACAAATGTCGATTGGTTTCCCCCAAAATATAAGAAAAGAGATGAAATTTTGAAACACAGAGATGTAGATATGTTTATTTTGCTTAACTCCACCCAATTCCAAATGCATTACATCTTGATCATTACACACTTCAAGCTGGATCTGAATATTTGGAAACATCTTGCCAAAATAATTCTGGTCTTTAACATTTCTCTGGAACATTAATCGGAGAAAGTAGGGTAAAATGTCTCGCAGTATTAGTACAAAGGAATTAGACTGCCATCCTCAGCAAAAACGCTGCGACTCCATTATAGATTTTTTCAGCTGACAAAATGTTTTATTACTGAAAATCAACAACCATTTATCCTTCTTAATTCTAAAATAACTAAGGGACTGCACTTATGCGCCTTGTCTTCCAAGCCCCTTAATTGTGACAGGGTTTCCGTCCCCCCCACTCCCATCTTACGAGATGCAAGTGGCGATGACGTCACTCTCTCCTTGAACCAAGCTCGCTGACCAGCTGAGCCAGCGCAAGCGCACTCTTTCATTTTTGCTTCCTCACCGCACCAGAGCCTATTGGCTGCCTTCTGCGGGTTTTTCCTTTTTGAGGCCTTCAGCCGTTCATCAGCCTCTCTTGTTTCAGCAGTCTGCTGGAAACCGATTTAAAAAATGTAATCTAATAGACTTAAATTCAAAGATGAATCGCAGAAATGGAGCTCTTACCATTTTTTGTGCACACATGATTAATGGCCCAAACAGCCCACAACTGAACTGGCGAGTCCGGGCATTCTAGTAGCGGAATCAGTGGCTTGAAAGACCTGTATGCAACCATCTCCATTTCTGGCTGCTTCCACTGATGAATGACTGTTTCCAGTTCGCTCAATAGCTCTGATCTCGAAATCTCTTTCACCAACCAGGATTCTTCGCCTTCACATGCTAAATTCGCTATTATTCCAGCGGAGAAGTAACTTACATCTATGTGACTTGAATGCAACAAACTCCTGGAAAAAGACGATGAAAGAAAGAAATTAAAGCATTTTACATGCAGAGTTAAAACATAACACTACGGAGCCGCACAACGTGGCTTGTGGCATTGTAAATTTCTTGTCACATTTTTTTAGAATGATTCATCAGTATATATTATTACAGACTTTCATTTGGATTACTGCACAGATTTCGATGAACTTTTAATGCTCCTGATAGTGTTTCGGATAGTGCTCTCTTATAAAACTAACGCTGCAATTGAGACACAAGTATTCACAGTCACAACATTGACTCAGTTACAATCAGAAGATGTCTACAAAAGTACGAGCAATCTTTTACAAGTATAAACGATTGAAACGTTTGATGCATTGTTTTTTTTTTTTTTTTGTTTTTGGGTCGGTGAAAAGTTTTTTCCAATAATTCAGATTTTTTTATTTTATTTTATTCACTTGTATTGGTACTAAAAAATTTGCAAGTTAAATTGAAAATTCTTTGGGACTAAACCAGGTAAGAGGTATAAGATTAATTGGCTGCTGTAATTTGTGGATTGATTATTTCTTTTTATTTCCTTTGTCATATTCACTGCAATTACCAAGAGAAAGCAGAAATATCCTTTTGGTAAAAAGAAAAATGTTCAGAGGTTGACAATTGGTCTCCAAGGGCCAAGGGGAGATTAACCTTCAAAATTCCTTAACTTTTCCAGAGAAGTTCCTCTTTATCATCATGTTACTTCAATATACGTGCTTAGGACCTGGGACCAAAGCACCCTGAAAAGTTGTAGCTTTTGAATTTATTATGTGAATTTGACGTTTAAGATATTGCTATGTCAGGTAAAAACCCAGTCAAAATAAAACTTACCGTAGTTTAAGAATAAGTTTGGGCTTGAGTAGATGTTTTCTCAGCTCCTTGACTTCTGCAATGTTATTGACTAATCCTAAAATTTTGGTTTCTATTGAGGATTCATTCATGAACTGATCTAGTGCTAACTGGAAGAGACACAGACCTTTTTCGTTGAGAAACACTTTGCAAGTGTCTGGAGATTCATCTGAAAATGGATGCAATTTAACAACAATGAATCAAAATGCGTTGTGATTTGCAAGCAATATTAAAGAAAATTGAATCTATCAGTCTGCCAAAATGAAAACAATACTGAGTGCAGAGACTTCAGTGTAATAAGCTTTTATATTTTTATAAAACTATTTGTAAGTGAGATCCTTGAAAAACCATAGAAGAGCTAAGGCCTGTGGTTATTTCTTCCCTTTTTGCCCCTTCCCGGTCATTCATGTTGCAGCAATAAGAAAAGTTTTGAGGATTGAGAAAATCTTGTCCTGCAAGTGCAAAGGAATCTTCACATTGAGGATAGAAAAGTATATTAATATTTTCAAAATGAAAATTACATTGTTATATGATGTGTTCATCGGCAAAGTTTAACATTTTTCTCTGTTTTACAGACAAACACACCCCTCATCTTACAATTTTTAGCTCGCTCTCTCCACAATTATTGCCATTGTTTTGGCAAAAAAATCAACCAAGCACTTAGTTTTCTGTACATATTAGAGATAGCAGCAAAATCTCAGCAAAATTTGCATGAGTGCAAAATGAAAACACACTGTTTGGTCGGAGAGATGCTGATTTGCGAATCAAGGGATAAAAGACTTACCGGTGAGATTCCATAGAGCACTCAATGTAAATCGTAACGTCACATCCGTCCTTTTGGATTCAATTTTTTCTGCTGCTATAAATAACATTTTCTTCATATATTTTGTGTTGGAGCCCAAAAGTGAAGTTTCATGGGTTGCTAGCTTGGAGGCTGGAAAAAAACATAAACGAAACTCGAATAAGAGAAGAATGAATGTTGTATCATATTACTGATTTTTGGACATGACTTGACAGATACGTAATTGTGAACCTATCACTACATCTTACAGGTAAAAAATTTAAAGCTACAGGTAATATTGAAGTTCGTACAAAAAGTGAACACGCTGTACAGAGAGCAAACAAAAGTATAATATGAGTGGTTCTACTTCGCCTCTCCATATGGGACTCTCTTCTTTGTATACACTTTTTTGGAGGGACACTGCTTGACAAGCTAACTGATTCCAACAAATAGAAACTTTTCATCCTGATGTCCTAGCCACCTCTTGACTGCTTTTTGATTTTCTGTCCATCTCAAAACTTGTTCCAAAAAATTGAGCCTTCAATCTTGAAAAAACGTTACGTTCACCCTAGAATGGAAAAATGAAATTTGTCCATTTCCTCCTTGAGGAAAAATGACAATTAATCTTGAGAATAAGGACTTAAGAATGTTTAATTCATGTGTGTTGGTCAATGTAAGTTTCTCTCATTTAAGAATTCTCTTGAGAGATAAGGATTTATCATTATCCAATAATCTGAGCATATTTTTCCATGATAAGGTAAAAAAATTGTTTTTGTCAAATATTGAATCGCATTACTTACCAAGGATGCTACAAATGGCTACGCTCATTTTGTTCATTGAGGGGTCATCAAACGAGCAAAGACAATCAAGCACTAGTTTCGCACAACGGTACTTTTCTGGTTTCATTGCCTGTGGAGATCCAAAAGGTTATTATTTTTACAGCTAGTAGATGCATTTTGAAATTTTGAACCCCTGAGCACTGGTTGCAAAATAGCCAGTTACTCAATAACCTCCTGGAGCTAATGGAAAAAAAAAATTGGGTAGCATTTACCATAATCTTGTTAAAAAACGGCACACAATAAGAAAAATCTTGTTACTTTCACGATAATTTTTATGAAAGTTACGATACTCTCTGGTTGTGCCATTCATTAACCAGAATATGAGGTTTTCAAACTACGCACTGTAAATGCCACTGTTTTGCTTAACTCTATCCATTTGTCCTGCCTGAAAATTAGGCTCTGTGCTTTTAGGAGTTTTTAGCTCTAAGATAAATCAATTTACTTTCACATACCTACCTGCAAACTCTTTGTTGTCTATGAATCTGATTTTAGAGAGAAAAACTTCTTACCTGAAGTATCTTCTCACTGCATATGGTCAAGAGAGTATTCTTCTGCAACTGGTAATGACTGGGGTACCGCTGCATAGCATCGAGACAAGTTGCAGCGACTTCCCTTAGAGTATCTGGATGGATTTTCTGTGACAGCTCTCCTTTCGTCAGGTTATACAGACATGCTGTACCTGCCAATTGAACTGTGATGTCATCAGGATGCCTTTTCATTCCTTCTAATACTAGTTCAACGATGTCAACTCTTGCTTCCACATATGTCAACGAGAGTTTGAATAACACTTTCAACAGTTTTTGAACGTACAGGCTACGATCCTTGTAAGCAGGACACGTGAGGCCTAGGAAAATTTGGTCCTCAGAGCCTGTCCCAGTGACCTGTGAATAAAAATGATAGACATTTGAAGAAAGGGAGTCTATGCATGAGAGTCTTCATGAAATGCTGCAATCACACGCTAAATTTAACAGCTGAATGTGGAAGTCAACGGTCATCGCCCAACAGCTGAAATTTCGCAAATTCGAGTTTTTTTCATCCAGATGTGTGTCAAATCTATTCGAATAGCTCAGACAAATCCAACATTAGTCCAATGGTTGCTGAGAATCGTTGCTGAATTTTGCGAGTCACGCGCAAAATTCAGGCATCGGGTCGATGACTTCCACATTCTAGCCACATTTAGCTCCCACATTCAGCGTGTGATTGCGGCATTAGACAAAAAACAATTTTACAAAGGTAATGTAGTTAAAATAATAATTAGGGATCCTACATGAACTGACATCATATAAGTAAACAGAGTTGGAAGCTGGACTGAAACTGGATACATTGAACTCTTTGAAGCCAGAGAATTTACATTTTCTTTTCATTTGGGCCCAAATTTGGCCCTTTCAGTTTCAAATTTAGTCTTATTGGCTCGTTTAAATATGTACCATTGTTGAAAATTAATTACCGAGTGACATAATCAAATGATCCCAAAAAATCTTAATTGACCACCTATGCTTCATAAATGAGTCAAGGAGCTAACAAGAACGCTACCTTAAATAAGTCTCAAAAGGAAGGTAAGAGCTGAGAAAAGGCCTTGTCATGAGCTATGGAAAAGTGCGTTGTATGATTTATGGAAAACGGTTTGAATATCATTGCTTAGAACAAAAATTTGCAAAAATTTACAACTATAGCAAACAATTTGGCTTGCACATTGTACAATCTAGTCATTTTTTCAAAAAAACATTTGATACAGGGATTAATGTTACACACCTAGAGAGATACTAGAAATACAAGTAGAGTGTAAGTCTTACCATCAAATCAGGATTAAAATTCTGGTCTTTCGGCTCCGTGAGGAATGTTTCATGACAAGTTTTTGAGCACACAAGTCCAAGGAATTTTAATCTAGGGTGGTTTTGGACAAAACTTAATAAAACTTGACCATCATAGTTTTTTCCTGGAAAAATAAAAAACACTTTGATAACGCTAAAATAATATTAAGGATAAAACAAATTTGGTTCCCAGTTTCCAAAATGTCTGATGCTATTTCATTTCAGAAATAGAATTTCTACCAGTTCTTTTTATTATGAATAGAAGAATAGAAAGAGGGAACAAAGAAACCTTATTACGAAGCTTCAGAAACTATTTCAAAAGAATAATTATCCAAAATTCAATAATTGAACCTGTATTTTACGTAAAATCATGGTTGCATTTAGAAACAGGATCAAATACCCAATACCAGGTTTGTAAGTTTAATGCAATTCAAACTTCCACTGAATTTTAACAAGAAACAACGCTCCTGTCTCTATTGGCCTGTAAAACAAAAACAAATTTCCCCTCGGACTCTTTTGAAGACAAATGTAAATACAGTACATTTAGGTAAACTTCTCGCAACCATGGTGGGATCTCAAAACTCATCCACAAAAATGATCGACCTGTATATATTGATCTTGTCAAAGAAGATGAGTACTCAGAGATGGACACTTCCGTAAAAATTATCTTTACTTCTCATGGAGACAGTAATCACACAACATCATTATTAAACTTCAGTTTATGCGTTCAACTACAAGTAGTGTCAAGAAAATTTATGGACCACTGGATAGAGTAACAAATTGAGCACTACAGCATATGGCGAATATTTTCTGGTCAAAAGTTCACGCCAAATACACAGAATATATAAAAAAATTCCAGATTTATTCAAGGAGAAGTAAATGTTTGTAGTTTACATTATGAGCGGTTGATTTAAACTTGCCACTCACAAAAAAGCATGATAAATGTGCGCTGATTTGAGCATTTAATTCAATATATACATTGAGCGAATAACTACAGCCTGGTTTCTCACACATTTCCTCCCTTTTTTGATACAAGGAGCCTCAAATCCTGTCACAATTAAGTTAATAGACAGGATACATTTTCCATTGTTGGAGATGCCGAAATTAGGTTAGTGCTCGATTTGAATCAAGAAGACTCAGGTTTTTTCATGGGCAGGAAGTGTGCATTTGCATGCATAAAAACCATTACTTTCTAGATTTTAAGTTAAATTTGGAAATCCTTGATGCATTCATCATATACCGGCTAAAATTCTGATGAGAGTACTTGTAATGTGCTGCTAAGAGTATAATGTTTTTTGGTCCATTAGAAATCTAATTAAAAGATGGAAACTTCTGTATATTGACTTCCTTAACATAAAAATTGAGAACACAAAATTGACCAAAGTGTGCACAAACCGGAAATATCTAAGGAAATGAGATCGGGCAGGGCATTTGGGTTGGAGAGAATGCTCGTAATATCACAACTCTTCTGACTTAGAGGCATGTTTGATGACAATTGCTTTGGAGGATCGGTAGAAATATCCAACATTTGTAACTTTTCGAGGTCTAATATTACGTCTACTTGATTGCTGATCTATAAAAAAAAAAGGGAGAAAAAATATTAATAATTTGAGATGAGTTACCTGAAAAAGTGAAATCTATTAGAGCCTTTTTCAGATAACTTGTCCTTTTTTGCTGTGCATATGAGTACAGAATTCCATACTCCACGCATACAGAGAAAAAGGACAAGTTATTTGAAAAGTACTCTACATTATATTCAGCACAGTTTTACTTGAAAATATTTAAGTTTGATAATACGATAGTATTTACTTGCAATTATTGTTAGAATTTTTATGATTCATTTATTAGCTACAAAAACAGTAGAAAGCTTATGAAGGAAAACATTTCAAGGATCAAAGAAAATTTTAGTTTTAATTGCTTCATGTCATCACTGGTTTGTCATTCTACTTGTAATCAGTCTAAATCGTCAGAACAAAAATGCCTTGAGACTGAAGAAATATTGACTTCAGTAGCTTTCCGTCTTGAAAAAAGTTCATTTTCGCAAGGTTTTAGAGAATAAAAACTTAAAGAGAAAAAAATTCTCACACACATTGTCCACCATATGAAGAGATACTTACTTCCAATTGGTACATAAATAAGCCTTTTAAGGTGTTGCGACACCTTTTGAGGGGTGAAAGATCATCAACTTCTGTGCTAGAGATATTTAGCACTTCTAGATGCTGCAGGTAACGTGTAAAAAAATCAAGGGAGTAAGAGCACAGTCTTGTATTGCTTACATTTACAATTCTTAAATTATCCAATTCTAGAAGAATGTCTATGCAGCTGAAAATAGAAAAAATAAGGGGAGTTAAATTAGATACACTTAAATTTCACTCGAATAGTTACTTCTAATGATTTAAAGGTCACATGGTTTCCCTTCATTTCTTTCCAGCAAGTATTTCATTTTGCTAGTCCCCAAACAAAAAAAACAATACTCCAAGGCGAGGTAGCAAAATTGACTAATATTCACTTTTTGACAGACATAAAGTGCAAAATCTATCCTAAAATTCTGCTCATTTTTAAACATAATCAGAGGGAAGATCCGTGTAATCTACAATTAATAACGCTCAACAGTTTCCTGGTGATAATATACTTTGCAAGGGAAAATTTTACAGCGTTGCGTACCTACTTAAACTCTTTTATTGGGGAAACAACGATATTGTGTGGTCTCAGCGATATTCCTCCTCAGAGATCAACGTGACACAATGTTAATACATCTTAGGAATTATAAAAATACAGACAGACCTACCTTGAGACTCTATTCATAAATTAGAAAGCTCAACACTATTATGGAAGTAAAAAATGTTATACTTGGTAAAAATGATGAGTACCTCACCTAAGTGATTCGTGATGACTAGGCACATATCATCAGATATTTTTGATCATTAGTATGCATTTTATATCCAGGACTAGCTGATTATCAGAGCATATTTTTTTCCCTCATTGATCAAACATCCCGGAGGAAATATGGTTCAAAAATTTCTAGGTGGTTTCGTATCCACTTACGTAGCATAGGTAGTACATACGATAAGTGTCAACACTACCCTAGGAAAGGCATGACCGCCCCCAATTCTTCGGAGGAAAAGCTACCAGTTTTCGATTTTCAATATCGGATTTCATATTTTCAACACACTTGATGATTCATGTAAACATTGAACTATAAAGCAAAAAATAATTCAGTGATGTCTTACTTTGGCATGAATTGAAACTCTCCACCAGAAACATTTAGGGATTTCAGATTCTCTATGCTCCATTCTCCCAAACATTCTAACAGATCACTGAATGCTTTGAGCTTGAGTTTTGAAATTTCCAAAGATTCAACTTTGTGATTCCTCAGAAATTCTAGGCCCTTTTTTGACAGCTTACTTCCATCGGCCACGCAGACATTCCTGAAAAATCAGAAAACAAACATCAGCACTTGAACAAAGCACTTCCAATGTACTAATGACTTTAGACTTCCTAACTCAGTATCCTAAGACTTAAGAGTACTTAGAAGGAAATAGAAACAACTTGCATGATGACTTTGCAGATCAACAACTTGCAGACAAGTTCCCTCATTCCCATTAGCTCTGATTGAATATTAAATGTTCCTTTCTGACAGCAAAAGCAATATAACGGCTGTTTCGTATCTCACGTGTGAATGTGTATTAGGGGAAGCATATTATCAGAGATAAAAGGTCCACTGCGCAAGTTAGCATGACAAGTAATTTGAACTACCTAGATAGTTCATGAGGGGCAAGAATGTGAGAATACCTCAGAAAAAAAAATTCAACACTATGGCTGTGTAATGAGTGATTTAAATTACTGCAGCTGTAAAAATGCACCTGCTGATTTTATTAAACCTTTCAAAACAGAGAGGTAAATCAGGCCATTTTCTGGCTCAGCAGCAATATTAGATCTCACGACAAATAATGTGTAAGAACTAGGAATATGGTTGGTAGAATATAAGATGAAATTTGAGAGAGCTTCAAAGAAAATTTCAAACCTTAAGGCTGTGGATCGAGGATCGAAGATCGTGATGGTTGTATCATTGATTCTGCCTCTGGTCGAGAGGTTCCGCAGTAATACTTCCGATACCTCTTTAGGAAGTGATACATCTTCATCCCTCCAGTGAAGGGGATAAGTGGTGGAATAAGGAGGTAAGTGGATGCTCCCACTTTCTGAGGGATTTTCTTGGCAACCAGGTGACGGATCCCATAAAGTCTGAAAATGATTGCATATGAAATTTATGCACTCCTCTTGGAGGGGTTTAGGGGTGACATACATTTTACACTGATAACTTTTCACTTCACAAAAAGATGAGGTTTAAGAGAAAACTAAGGGAGAAACTACCGAACCATGGTGCATCTTGAGTTCTGACATTTATATCACTTCACCATAAAATTAATTATTAACCGAGACCTAAAAATATTTAAGCAGGAAGAAAACATCTCACTCACTGGATGGAACAATAACAAACCAGCATTGTCAAGTTGTACATCTTAAATGTCAAGAAGTCGTTTTCGCCTGTTATTGCAAGGTTAAATCCGAATGAATTTCAGAGCACATGTGATTCGTTTTAAAATTAAATTAATTGTCTTTAAATTCAAATTCCCTCTTTGTGACAAAAATATCTATGGAAATCAATTTTAATTTATTTGAAGATTGATTCATTTGGCAACATGCAAAATACCGCCGCCATTGCGATAAACATCCATAAGTTCCAAAAGTTCGATTGAGCGTTTTTGCAGGCAAAGACCCCCTCGGAATGAGCAGGCGATCACAGAGCGGGAGTAGCTGGTGGAGCGTGCATGAAGCTCGCTCGGACTCCATGATTATGCTCTGTTGCTCTCTCCTCTCCTCTACTCTTTGCTCATAATGGCGCCAAGCACGAATTTCACTCTCGGAGAAAAATTGAACCGCTCAGCTCAAGGAATAGACCTTTTTGATTGAAATGAAATTTCTATAAGAGTCCAAACCAAGTCCTAACCAGGGTAATGCTTAAAATTCTTTGGCAAGATATTTTTCTGATATAATTTAAGGATGNCGTAGATCTTTCTCACATCAAGTTCCTCTCGTGTGTTATAATTTCATCCTTTTTGATCAAGAGTTTCTTGGAAAGTTCGTTGATCATGGCCACGCGTTGCAGATTTGAGAATAACAACGAAGTCGGCGTTTTCAGCAAATTGACGAATTCTTATTGTCTTGTTTCTCTCGGTGGAAATGACGTATTCTACAAGTAAGAATTTTTTCAGGAACCGCCTCAAATCAGAGATATCCAAAATGTCATTTTTGCCATTGCCTATCTCAGTCACGTTTTTATTTTTAGGTTAGGTTGCTCGTAAATGCTTCGGCTTTAATTAATTTTCTTATGCTGTTAAACTACCTACTCCAGCTCTTCTCAGTGTTCAGTTTCCCGTAAGTAAGCGAATGAGAGTTCTTGTGATATCATTCGTGCCTAGTAAGATAATGCCATCCTCTTGATTCCCATCTCTTATCTTGCGCAATATTACAGCAGCGCGTGACCTGGCATGTCACATTTTGAGATTTTTATGAAAGCCATTCAGAGACCTAATTGAATTATGTTAACCAAAAATCTTGAGGTGCTGTCTAGCATACTGCTTCACTATGGCTGAGTGCGCATGTACTCAGATTTGATAGTCGGCAGCGAGCAACCCTGCCGCGATAGCGAAGAAAGCAGTAAGTGCAAAAATCAAGTTTTGAGACAACAGGCTCAGAATCCTCTGACCGGAAAAGTAAATTGACAGAAGCCTCCGCTCTATGTTAAATTGGCACTAATCGTCCCAAAGACTCCTAGAAATCGTTAGGATGATTAAGAATTGACTGATTTTACTTCAGCTACATCGAAAAGGTATTTCTCATCTTCATGCTAGATTATTGTTAGACAAGACAGCCGTAAGTGCCATCTTCTGCATGTTTTCGTAGTTGCATATTGGAAACGCAACAAGCACTTTTTCAGGTTAGAAATTTGTAGAAAAGGTCGGCACTTTACTCGAAAGCACTGTTTTCTTCGGCTCTCTGGAGGATTATTGTCACTTACTACTGTCTTGCCTTAAACTGTATCATTTTTTGCGCACTTACATCGCTTTCTCATATGTCTCGTTATGATACAATTAACATGAATTTTGCTGTTTTAGCAATTTCAGTGATTTCATCTTAAAGAGTCATCTAAGAGAGATGAATTTTGAAGGAAACTCAGTTTCGAAAATTTGACACTTACTGCTCTCTTTGCTATCATGGCAGAACCATCAGCCGTTAGTACTACCAAATATACAACACTAGCAGTATTATCTTTATCCTCATAACAATTATTTCTTTTTCTGAAATGTTTCTGTTTTCCTTCCTTTCTTAGCATTTTTGAAGCAGAGGTAGGCGACCAGATTCCAGTAATCCGTACATCAATGGCTGGCTGCAGAATCATAGGTCGTTTATCTGTTGGTGAGTTTCTTTTACCTGTATTTGAGGTTTTATTTATCTCATGAATCCATGTCCTTCAAATTCTTCTATGGAAAACTGAATTTTAATTTTGATAGTAACTTGCTGAACCTTAAGAATCGTGATTTTACTTGTAAGTTAATGAAAAAAGCTAGCTTTCAAATGTTTTGAGATTCTCTTTTAAAAGTTATTCCAGTGAGAAATACTTAAAACCTGGAGAATAGCGTCAAGTTTGTACTTATACTGCATGAATGTGATTTTTAAATGTAGGAATTGTTTGGAAATTAGTAATTTATTAACTACAGGCAAGTAGGAGATTATATCCTATCAAGTGCTAGATGAAGGTTTCTTTCAATTATTGGCAGCACCATCAATTACCCTCCCAACAATTAGTTCTCAAACTCACCTATGTCTAAGTGCTAATGTCACTGAAGATGCTAACGATTATGGTGAAATTTCTGACTGAACACAACCGTATTCTCAAGTACCTAGTGCTCAATTGATATAGGTATATTGATGAACTTGCCAATCAGTGAAAGAAAAATCTCACACTTAGTGTTCTGTCTTGATGCTAGCCTACATAAACTAAAAAAAACATTTATCCACACTAAGGAGAGGAAAAACCAGCCAGCTGGAGCTTTCAAATGTCTCCTTTCAATCATAGATTTACGGACAGATTTGAACTTGTGTCATTTTGACCCTCTAACTTTTTTTCAACAGGTAATAGACATGGCTTGCTCGTTCCAAACTCAACCACTGATACAGAGCTGCAATATCTGCGCAACACTTTACCAGACTCAGTAAAGCTACAGAGAGTGGAAGAAAGACTTTCAGCACTAGGCAATGTTGTAGCTTGCAATGACTATGTTGCCCTGGTTCACCCGGATATTGATAGAGTAAGTATTAAGCACCTTCTCATTTCGGTAACAGTACCTCAGCATTGATAAATAAGTAAAATTACTGAATTCAGTATGAAGAAGGTTGCTGAAAATTTTTCTCTCTCTACCTTTCACTTGGTCCATCGTAAAAATTCTTGAATTTCCTAATTTGTCTATTGAATGAAAATTATCAGCATGCGATGAAAATTTCTGCATAAGTAATCAAACATTTTATGAAATGCCTTAAAATCCAGGAACAGCCTTTTTACTTTATTGTCAAGGCTGACAATTCCTAAAGATAAACAAAATACAGTGATAATCGATGGCCTTGATTTTCACTCCATTCCTTCAAATGTAGAAAATAGCATATCATTAGAAAAGTAAATGTGTTCCTATTCTAACATCAGTTTGATTTTTTCTGACGTTGATAGCAGCATTGACAATTCACCCCTGTATAGATACCCAGAAAAGATCGATCGGATGGTTATTTGATTTTAATTTCCTAGACTTTACCATTGGATCAAAAGTGTAGTAAAATAGGTATCGTAGGCCAAAGTGTTTGACCCTATCATTACCAGACTAGATTCTGCATGTACACACCCCACAACGGAAAGTGATTGTAATGCAAACAAGTCACAACACTCTTCGGAGGGAGGGCTAAAATTGTGGTTTGGATCTTGATGGAAGGGTAGAGCTACAAATATGAATACTTCTGACAGTGAGTGAAGGTTGCTGAGTTACAGGGAAAATGCTGCGGGTAGGATAGGAATTTGCTGAACACAGATGCTGTGCTCAAGGCACTGAAAGGATTTAATTGTTACTGAAGATAGAATTTTTTTCTATGTATATAAAGTTCGACTCCATTTTCATTGGGTAATGTTTTTCTTTTCATGCTTAATTTAGGAAACAGAAGACATAATTGCAGACACATTAAAAGTAGAAGTATTCCGTCACACAATCGCCTCAAACCCGCTTGTTGGATCATATTGTTCTCTTTCTAACCAAGGTGGTCTGGTGCATCCGAACACTTCAACACAAGATCAAGATGAATTAGCTACACTACTACAAGTGCCTATTGTTGTAAGTGGATTCTTTTCTTGCCGCAATTTTCTCCTTACTCAGTCAGTGACTTTCTGGTCACTTTAATTTGTATTCATTCAAAAAGTCATCATAAAATAATTGAGTGAAAAACAAGCTTTTGAATTAAGTGATGGTTTCCCTCGAATGAGGTATTATAGTTTGATCCAATCATCAAACCAGCAATTGCTCTAGGCTTCATAGGAGAATTCCTGAAGCATGTAGGACTTTCCCTAAGACATTTAATAAAAATTACCTAAAATATTAATCTCCAACTCATTTAATAAATAAAGCTCTGAAAGTTTTAAAAGTTACTGCTCAAACAAGGAAAGACAATACTCTAAAAAGCTTCAGTCAAAATCAGATTCTTATTATGCCCTTGGCGATTTTATACTAACATGTAGAATCTTACTGTGTGTACACTCATGAATCATTATTGTGCGCAAGTCCTCCTGAAGTTCAGTTTCAGCGTAATGCTGTGTCTTTTCAGCCAACAACGTCCACTGTGTTTTGTAAGGGATTGATTTGCCATGATTTAAGATTGAGTCTGCTGTCCTTTGCAGCTTGAAGTGAACTTCAGGAGAACTTAGCTGTCCCATCTGCCAACCGTTTATATCGTAAAAATTTTGCCTGCATCTATTTCAGGTACCTATCAGGAAGCTGACACATAGAATGATATATTTTGTAGGAATTGAATCTCCATGTAAATGGTAGATTTAGGTGTATTTGTAAACCTACAACGACAAATTGTCTCACCTCATTTGAGAAACTTTGATTGCTTTCAGATTTAGTAGCTATCTATTTCGTTACTTTTTACTGAAGCTATCTCATTTGCACCATTTTCTTTTCTTTCTTTCTCAGGCGGGCACTATCAATCAAGGATCAGAACTAATTGGAGCTGGAATGGTAGTTAATGATTGGTGTGCCTTTGTAGGACTTCCCACAACAACAACAGAAATATCTGTCATTGAAAGTATATTCCGGTTGAATGATCAAAAACCTTCGAATATTACATCTCAAATGAGATCAACACTGATTGACAGGTGAGTCCAAAAGAGATTAGTTGACACATATTGGTAATGCATTGTGTCTAACGACTGAGAAAACTGGAAAAGCCAGGTAGGTAGATGAAACCAGTGAGGGAAGGAAAATGCATAACCAGTAGAACTGTGAATTCCAGTGCAAGATTCTAATTTTTTCCATTACTTCATTGTGCTTCAATACTCAGCTTCGCAGTGCTTTTGTCCGATCTGTGGTGTATTTTTCCTTTGGAAATTTGAGCCCCTACCAGCACCTCTCACAGAGCTGTGACAATTTTTGCGTTTCTTTTGGTTTGGGAAAAAAAGTGAAAAAAAGTCAGGGAAAGTCAGGAAGATGGAAAATAATCCAAGCATCAGGGGAAACATTGAAAGTCAGAGAGAAGAGAAAAAATCTTACTTGACACCTCTTAAGGTGAATCCAGGCTTGGAACTTCGCGATTTGGCCACCACTTCGCGCTGCTCAGAACAGCCCCATATATTTGCCAAAATAATAAAAACCGTAATACTTATTCAAGATTGGAGATCCAGGGGATATGACAACATACTTGAGGAAAACTCAGTAAAAAAATCTTCTCAAAATTCCCAAAAATAAAGTCTTAACTACGGCGGAAAGTAATTCCCATTGCGGCAATGGGAGAGAGAGAGAGACAGAACACGAGGGATTCCGTTGTGCGCTCAGCCGCCGCCTCTGAGCTGAAAGTTTCAGCTGTACTTTCTCTGCGCTTGTAATTCTAATTGCCAATATTTTTGGCTCAAAAAATCAAGCAAAAATTAATCTATATCTTGTGGATCTGCTTTTCATAATTCGAGGAATTTTATTTCAGTAATCGTCGAAGGAAAGTGAAATTCTCAATCTTGAATTATCCCTAATCGAACCCTGGATTCACCTTAATGGGTCTTTTGTCCAATGACTTGTTAGGATTATTAATTTTCAGATTCCCCATTACAATAGCATCCTTAAAAATGTATCCAAAATATGAATCATTTCCATACTTTGGATGAACTTTCATTTTACCTGTTAGGAATAATAGTTACTTAAAAACCTTATTCTAATTATTTGAAACAAAGTAAGTCAGTGAAAGCCCTGATCTTCTTCCCTGTTATTAAGTCTCGAGCTCAATGATAAGACTAGATCTAAACTTAATTTAGTGATGCTATTGGCTGCTAGCCTGAATCATTTGATCTTTATTAACATAATTATTGGGTAAGCGTTTAACAACCCAAGCTCCACCAAGAACCAATCCTCTTCAAGCACCAGAATCAGAATTCTTATAGTTAAACCTACCTCAATGTCACTGCATTTGAGATTGTGATGCCATCACCTCCAGCCAATCCTGGAGCTGCCTGCTAGGTCGCTCATATTCCCACGCCTATAAATATGGTGCATCTGCTGCATGCATCAACCATCCATTCTCTTTCAGTTGCTGCTCCTAAAGTTTGTGATAGGACAAAACAAGTTTTTTTTATATTTTTTTAAATGAGCCTAAAAATGCTTCAGAAGTGCTTGATTTTACACCTCTCAAGTTAATGAGCCTCGATCTTAGTTTCTAAGTTTTTCTCCTTCATAATCTGGGATCTAAGTTTAACTACATATCATGTTTTGCTCTGTTGCAGTCTGGCCTGATCAAGTGAGTAATTTCAACGTTCTTGGATGTCCGATTTTCATTGCCTTTACATTAAATGCACCAGGATTCTTCCCGGGTAAAACCTGATCTCGCATCAAAATGAGTCTTCTTCGTGTGTAAGCAACTCCAATGCATGCAGGTTGCACAACGACAAATACATCATAATGAGTCTTCAAATCACACCAACATAACAAGAAACAGTTAGTTCATGAAAGTACCTTCTGGTATTTTCTCAACAATTTCATTAAGGATAATTAAGATAAAAAATCAAATTGAGGTATCTTATACTTCAAAAGTGAATATTTGTATGTATTTTCGTAATATAGTATGGGTTTTAAAGTTTTTATAACTGTTGGTCTCCAACAATAGCAAGTCGTTATTCTTGTTAGTCCCAAGTTTTTAAAAATGTCATCAGGTACTCAAAAACCTTCTCTAACTCTAAGTTTTTCCCTCATCATTGGCATCCTCTGATATTTGTTTTGAGGTTCTTCGAATGTCCATACATTGGTTTTCTCATTAGTGGATTTGATTCATTTTTTCAAACAGATAGACATAGTTTTCACCATTAAGAGAAAAACTTAAAGACTCTTCACTCTCTGCTGTGGTTTAATAACTTCGGACCAATTCTGTAATTTTGAAGGTTGTGGTCATTGCTGCCAACCAGGAAAATCAATGTTGTAATCGAAAGGAATTTTGTTTTGTTGTAACTGAGGTTGCCAGCCAGTCGGTACAGATTGAACCGAATCCTCTTGCGAAAATTTGACTATTCTAACAAATTGAGTATTGTAACATTAAGAATAGTTGATTGTTACTTTTACCCAATAACTTCACTCATGTTACACCTCTGTTAATTTATTCGTCCATTTTGAACTGTCTACATCAAAGATTATGAGCTTGGAAAAAAGTTTGCCATCTTTTTGTACAATCTCTAAACAAGTAATCTGCCTTCTTGATAAATAAAACCATCAAAGCTCATTCAGAGATCTTTTTTGTTGTAAACCATAATTCCTTGATATGCGGTAAAGCTAATGATAGTTTTTCATAAATTTTTTATTGTCCACGAAATTTGCATGTGACATGTCTCTTGCAACATTCTCCAATCACCTAATTATTGTATTTCATTAATTAATTTAATGTCTAATTTGAGACAAGTGTTCGTGTATACTCAATGAAAGTGAAGTATTATGAGTAGGTAAGAAAATATCAAGAAAAGCTGAAAAACTCCAAGTCTTGAACCTATTATTATGCTGTTCAAAAACCTGACTGATTGAAGTGTTGTAAATTTCAATAAAATGATATAATTTTTTGATAATGAATTGGGCTTGCTCTCATCAAATTATTGACCCCTTACCTTTTGAATAAGCTGCGATTGAGATTACATTTTTCTAACTGTCCCTGTTATATGATGGTGTGGTTCATTCAGTACCGTCAAAAATTAAAGTATGTAATTGCCTGTGACATGGTCAAGTAGTCAAAAAATGCCATTTTTTATCAAATCCGATCAAAACCTAGCATCAGTGGTACTTTAGTTTACAACTACTTAGCCTTGATTACATACATTTATTTATCCAATCTACGTAGAAAATTCCATATACAATCCACGTAGGAATTGTTGTACCTCCAGCTTTCATTATTTTTGGTCATGGAATACTTTTGATGTTGAAACTACCAAATCACGTATATCGGTTTGGGACTTTGCAGGCTTCCTGTTTCATCCTACATTCCAAAAGGATTAGGTACAGATCATCATTACAGGATATAATTTTGCCTGGTTTTTCTTTGCTCAGTGGAAGATATTTTCTGAAGATTCTATATAAAAACGCCAGTAATATTCCTTTATAAAATGAAGACGAAGCAAACATTTCGAAACATCGCCGTCGAATTCCGTCCTTTTATGGCTTCAACGTTTGTCCGATGAAGCGCTCGAAAAGCTCAAGCGCGCAAAATCGAATAAACCGCCAATGTACCCTCAATTGCAATCCACCAATGGAAGTTTGCTTTTCGTTTGATGTCACTAAGTCCACTAATAGTAATATTTGATTCGTCAATCTTCATCCTACGTCACGCAATACATTCATCATGGCCGTGTAATCTTCCATCTTGGAAAGTTGACATGCGCCGCGTCCATTTTCGTGAAGTGACGGGTCCTCAAGCGTTTTCCCATTGAGAGTTTTTCGAAATTCGGGCTTGTCCCTATTCACTTTAACATAGTTTCTATTAGTTTTATAATAATTTCATCGTATAATGGCCGCCACAAAAGCTGAATTAGCCTGCGTTTACGCTGCTCTCGTCCTTGTCGACGACGATGTCGCCGTCACCGTGAGTACAAAGCTTCCTTCGCCACGTGTTTTTAATACTTATTTCAGAACTTTAGGCCCTTTATTGTCAAGGGCCAGTAGAAAATTCTCATTGCTCCTCATTATCTAGCCTACCTCTCGAATTAAGTCGACTAGAGTCTTTCCAAATTCTCTTATCTTCTGTCGTCTCACATGGCCTAACCTCAGCCATGCGGCTCGATTAGTTTTCACTTCCGGAGAAAGATTACTTTCACATCCTTTATAAATGAGGAAGTAAACTTTGGTCAAATCAAGTCACACCGCCACTCTAAGTTTACAATTCTCATACTTCATATGAAGAGCCCAAACTGCAGTTGTCGATCTCCCTCCTTATCCATCCTTCCCACAATGGTTGCTTACATTGATTTCAGCACCCTCATTGCTGAGAACTCGATACATGCAGTTAATAGTTCCAGTTTTTCCATGTTATTTCCCACTGTGTACTGTGGCACCACCACCGCAAATTGTCCACTACAGACCTCGAGGTTCCCTGAGTCTACAAGTAGCCGGAGGTTTCGTGCTTCCGGAGTCTGCAAGTAGCTAGAGGTGTCGTCAGCCAAGTTGGCATTCATTTACGTTCTGCTTGAAAGCGACTGGGGTAAAATCATCTATAGTGATTGTGGCCTGATTGTGAGCGTAGCCTATTCTTGGTCCATATCAGAAGTCAGCACCACGATCGTATGCTAACAGAATGTAAGCAAGTGCCAACTCAACCGATGACACCTCTAGTGAATCCCTAAGTTTTATGCCTGTGCGTGCACTCTGTTATTGATGGGTGCAGCTTAAGCCTCAGAGAATGATTGTATCATTAGAAAAAGCAGCTATTATTTATGTTCTGGTGGCAGTAAGGCGTATTGTTCATGCTCATCAAAGCCTTCACTCCTCTGTCCTGTCGCCATATAAGCTCAGTGAAGCTGTTGCTGTATACTGAGCTAAACTCTCTTAAATTTTCTGCCTGGGAATTCTGTCCCTCCTGTTGTAACCTCAACAGCATCCTGTTTCAATGAGACCAGTGCTTGTCTACCGCTTAACGAGACCAAGTGAAGCTTCGAAACGCACCTTTTCACAGCGTCACTATTGAATAACTTCCTAATTATGTTGTTGGTTAAAAAATTACCCATTGGTTCCACTATGCACCTTACAAATTTAGCCCACAATCTCCGAAGAAAGTGGGCTCAATTAAAGCAAAGGATGCGCAATTGCATTACTCCCACATTTCAATCATGCTCCATGCATCATCCACAGATGTAGAATTTCCTCAACTAATGATCTGGTCTCTTTGCAGGGTGAAAAAATCCAGACCATCCTGAAGGCAGCCAATGTAGAAGTAGAACCCTACTGGGCTGGTCTTTTCTCTAAATCTTTAGAAGGAATCAATGTCAAGGATCTGATCACGAACGTCGGATCTGGTGTTGGTGCCGCTCCTGCTGGAGCTGCCGCAGCTGGTGAGTATTCTTCCACCACGGGTGGCTCTACAAATCATTAAACGCTGAACAAAGGTCTAATATTGGTACCTTGTACATACTGAAAATGCTGGCTTGTAGCTTGATCATAGCATCCGAATGATAAAGCATTCAAGTTTACCTGTTTTTTCCGAAGCATTACTATGTTCTCAATGATTATTTTTGGCATGTATTAGCTGCTGATAGAAGTGAAGATAAATATATACATAATGAGAGAACTTACTTACTGTTGAATATAAAGGGACCAAATATGTTAAACCCTTGGCTGATACGGTCTCATTAGTAAGAACTACTGATGAACAGTGGAGATTTTCAATTGTAGGGTTTATATTAGTTAAGACAACATATTTATGCCTTAGGTCACTGAAACCACTTACTTTTAGGCTCTCAAAAGTGTAGACATCATTTATAGCGTAGATTCTGCAAAGCCAAACAATGGCACTACTGTGAGATGGTCTGTCATGACTAACTGATTGGGAGAGAAACGAAGAATGATGGATTTTTAAATAACCTTTTCAGATCTGACCATGCCTCTTCTCACAGTAGCGCCATTGTTTGGCTTTGCAGAATCTACGCTATTAATGGTGGCTACACTTTTGAGTGCCTCAAAGTAAGTGGCCCCATTGACCTATGGTATTAATATGTTGTCCTAACGTTGAATAGAAGCAGGAGATGATAATATCCTAGGTTTGCCGTTTTTTTTGGAAAGCTCTCAATTTTTTTTTTTTTTTTTTTTTTTTTTTTTTTTTTTGGTAATGAAAAAATTGTGCTTGTTGCTTCATCTTTAAACATTTTGGAATCCTTTCACTTTTTTAAGGTCACTGCAAAAACTGTTGGAACTGCTGAAAATAGCAATTTCCGCTTCAAATTTTTTAAAAAAAAAAGTTATCACTTTGTGTGAAAAGGGTAAAAATTGTGGAAGTATTTGCTATCACAGATTGCATTTAGCCTATCATTAGAAGCACAAGGCGCAACTCTCGGTAGATTACCTGCATTATCAGTAAGATGAATTGAATCATTAAAGAACTGTTTGTCCTCTGTGATTAGTCTTAGCATGTATTAGCTGCTGAAAAAAATGAATGAAAAATTTATGATGAGAGGATACTCCAAGATTGGCTGGTAATAATCAATTTATTCTCATTTTTAGTGTTTCTGTTTTCTATCATGTTTAACTGTTTCCATTTCTTCATAGGTGCCCCAGCAGCTGCAGCTGACAAGAAAGAAGAGAAGAAAGAGGAGAAGAAGAAAGAAGAGAGTGAAGAATCTGACGACGATATGGGTTTCAGTAAGTTTGCCAGTCATGCCTTAATTTTTTGTCTATCATTAAACAATAATACATACAGGGTTGCCACAATCAGGGAATATCGAGAAACGTCGGGGAATTTTAAAAAGTCAGGGAAAATGGCGAAAATTTCAGGGAAAAATTGTCAAATCACCTTCATTTGCTTTCTGGAGTGAGTTTGACCTTTCGAACAAGGAATTTTGCCTGAAAACTATTTCTGATCGTCTTTTTAAAAATCTAGCATTTGTTTAATTGATAGGGAATTTAACCAAAATGTGTCAGGGGAATATCAGGAAATTTACTTTTCCAAACTCTGTGGCAACCCTGTACACATACCTCCCTTCTGGTACTTCAGCGCGCATTTCCTCACAAACTGTGATACTCAAGGGAAGTCACTACACGAGCCAAAGAATCTGTTGCACTGAAGCTGAAATCTTTCGAAGTGATCGTGACATTGCAAGTTTGCCCTAATGCTGAAAGATAGTACGCTCCTTTAATTACAGGCAACGTAGACAAATTTATTATGAAAGTGCTTATTTTCTAATCTGAGCAGTTGGCCCCTGTTATCATAGGTCACACTGCCTGACCGGCAGTGAATTTTTTGAAAAACTTAAAGAACTCCTGCATTCTAAGAAATGTAGGGTGGTCAATCTAAAAGTTGTGAATTATTGTGCTCAAAATCATGCGAGTTTTCTTTTTTGCCCGTCCAAAGAATTCTTTTTCGGGAAAGAAAGGTTAACTTTTTAAAAATGAATCATGTAATTTTTATGCAGCATGCTCTTAAAGCAGATCTATCATCCAAATGAGTTAAGACTTGGGGTAGTTGTTTTCTGGGTATTCCTTAGTGCTGAAAAATTTGACATGGTGGGGTAAATGGATTATTATTTCTGCAAATGACACCTTAACCACTACCAGCCATGAAGCATAATTAAATGAATTGATTTTAATTGAAGTTTTCTTTGTCTGTTACAGGTCTTTTCAACTAGGCGTATTCATTTGTTAATGACTAAATACTATGAACTGTATGTATCTATTGTTTTTATGTTTTTATACAAATAAATCACTCCTTTGTTGAAAGACCACTGCTGCTTTGCCAAATTTTATTTATCCCTCCACTTTTTACTCAAAAGTGAGAATATTGGTCAGAGCTACAAAGGCTGTGCCTTCAACAAATTGAGAGTTGTGTCATTTTAAGAGGACTTTTTTTAAGATGTGGGAATGCGGCTTTCGAGAGCTCTCAGCTTATTTCATTAGTTTTTTACCAAGCCTTCGTTGAGCTCAATTCGTGAGGCATTGGTTTTTTTTCACCGGAATTTTTTGGGGGCGGGAGGAAAGATGTACAATACGACTCAAGCTAGCTTACCTATTTTATTTTCATGGTCTTAGTTTTTCCTTGCGGAGTGGAGTTTAAAAGTTAAACAACTCAGAAAAGGGGGAGGACTCTTTTATATGTCCCTAAAGAAATGTTGCTGTAAAGTTAATTTTTGACCGAACGAGTTCAACAAGAACTCGTCAGGAAGGTAATGCAACCAGCTCCAACCTCTCTTGGCCGGCATTTTGATATCCCAAACAGTTTGCTCTGAATCGGCCAACTCTCAATTTTTTGGACACAGCCTTTGTATCAATTAATTCCGCTCAAAAATGGGTTGTATGGAATTTTCTTGTCTATACAAATCCTTAATTGGACAACAAATCCTATATTGAAGAACATTTAATTTCTCATTTACCTCTGTTTAGAACTACATAATAGATTAGACAAAAAATCAGATCTTCAACCAAAGGACCACTCGACAAGGTCTGGACGAGAAGTGAACGTTCTTCTCCCTCAGAAGTCAATGTAGAAAACGGTTCGCCCATTGGGCAGATCAGAAATTCATTTTCTAATGAGATATTAATTAGCAAGTATTTTTACACACATCAAATGGAAGTTACATGAGACAAATGACATTTGTATTTTTGCCATTAAACCAATGTAAATCGCAAACTTTCATATTGTATTTAGGAATTGATTTCCGTACTTGTTGTGTACTTTTCAAAAGGAAGTATGTTGCATTGTGCTTCAATTCATACCCTGTCCAGAGGCCCATTGTCTGGAAATTAATCTGATAGCCAAAGAATATTGTCCCGTAAAAATCATCTAGGACTACACATTGCGAAGCAGGATGCATGTTCTTTTCAACAGACTTCATAACACGGTCTCAATGCAATTAGTACACCTTATGTTTTTTCATCAAACTTCAATGCAGAAAACTATTGGTCTAATGAATTTCTCTCAAAGCCATCTTCTGATCGTGATCTTAGCTGTTAGTTGACATTGATTTCAAACAATTTGAATGTCCTGCTTTCATCATGAAACAAAATCTACGAGATGTCTGTTGGTTTTGAGCATGCATTTATCTGTGAGACAAATTACCTGACAAATCTGTCCTTCCTCCTTTCACGCTAGAAAAGAATAATTTATTGATAAATATTAAAGCATCTGCTAGAATAGTCATCGACTGTAAAACGTGTGATTCATATGAAGTGCGCAACTTAATTTTCAGTAATTTTAGTTTTTCTAAAAACAGGACTTTCGAATTTACATCCAAAAATAACAAACTTAGTCAAAAAACCTAAATACTCTGAGTAAGTAAATGCTGCATCAGTTGAATTATCAAACATGGTACTACAAAATATTAAGCATCGAAGTACAAGATTGGTTGAAAGGTGAAATAAATATATGGCAACACTCAAGTCGAAGGAGACCATCAGCCATTTAAGTGTTTTTTTCATGTGCTGACTTTTATCACAGCCCTCCAAGACTTTTATTTATTAAATGAAGAATTTATTTATTTTTTAATTTTTGCAATGGAGTCAAGAAATAGGGCCTGAAACGGAAACTGAAACTATCTGTACATTGTATGAGAAAAATCTATTTGGGTGGTATGAAAATTTTCAGTTTTTTATGCCTTAGTAATGTTCTCTGATTCTGTTGAGAACATCAGGCTCAAATTTCTAGCTTTAATTGAATTGGGACTTGCGAAAACCGCCAACGTCTATTTTTCCAATCTTAAGTTTTGTTGAGTTCATACTACTTTAAAGAGTTGATACAACCACAAAAGTGATGAAAGGACTTGTTTTGGGATCCAACACCACTTTCGTGGCTACAACTAACTCGGAAAAGAATTATGAATTCAAAGAAGCTTAAGACTGGAAAAATGGACATCAGCAGTTTTCGCACGTCCGATTCAATTAGCATTGATTATCATTGATGTTTGAAATGAATCGCTAAAACTGGTATTAGTGCCAGAAATCTTTTTATATTTTACCACCATGGCTACTCTATGTCAAGCTTTGTTCTCGAACCCTTGAAATTTAGGAAAAATTATCTCCTCGAAAATGAAAGAGAAAAGCAATAAATAGCCAATATTCGTCCTAGCATTTGATTGAAATACATTATTGCTCTGCAGAATATGCTATACATTAACTTTCAATATTGCTTGTGAATAAATGTTTCCCAATCATTAGGTTATTTCAGGTTTGAAAATAATTCTCTGGTATTTTTGAAGCAACTGGCGGTACAAGAAAATCCACCTATCTCATTGATTAAGAATTTTCATTCAGGAACTGCAATATGGAGGGTATGCTTCAGCATTGACTTGTAATGCTTTTTGCTTTCAGCCAAGAATGAAGGGGCACTGTTTCAGTCATTGTGGACATGAAGCAGCTGACATCATTCCTCTATGTCTAGCTCACATGATACCCATCATTTCTTTCCCTCATGGCTGAAAAATGCAGGTTACTACCGTCAACTCCTGACCTCCACAGTCCTATCCGAAGTTTTATCAACAATTTTAGTGCTCTAATGTAGTTGTTAACCTTTTTCTGTTCATCATGATGTAGAGTTATTATGTTAGTGCACCTGTCATATTATGCCCCTAGTTATTTTGGTGAGTGAAACCCAATAATTTCATTAGTGAGTTTGAGGAGTTCATCATAAGATCAATTTTCGTTTTCTTCTATATCTATCTTTGTGCATCATTCATTAGCAGTGGAATAGAATACTTACATTATTCTGATATATTTGCACCTAGTTTTGGCCACTTTTACAATCTAATTTTAGTCAGGTCATTCCAATTTCTTAGTTATTAGTCATGTCGAGTTGCTTAGCATAGAAGTCCGCAATTTACCGACTTGCGTAATTACCTTTTCTTTCGCCACAATGAGTTCTAAATCTTTTCTTTTTTTGGATGAAAAGAAGATTTTAGGTTATGATTTTCATCTTACCTTTCAAGAGTGAATCCCTTGTAATAGGAAAGAAGCCGACAACGTTTCCGTTATCAGGGCTGGAGCCACATAGGCCATGGCTCACTGCAGCAAATTTTTGGGGGTGGCAAATTATGGAAATGCGGAAGTAGATTCGAAGTGATGATCTTTATTTCAGGTTTTTTTTTTTTGCTTTACTTCTCTAGTACTTGTACTTTTTGGATCCCAGGGAGGCTAAATTTTAAGTCTAGCCCTGTTTGTTATCAAAGTAAAAACTACATGATTGTTTAGACGATCCCACTCAATAATACCCACTAATTAAGAGAAAAATTGACTAAAAATTTTTGCATATTTTTATAATTATTTAAGTACTTACTTGACTCTGAATTTTAATTGGAATTTTCTTTTTTGGAGCATGTACCAATATCAATTTTGGGAAGTAAGTTGACTGTAAATTTGATATCTTACACCATGTATGTACTTTATAAAAATTACCGCAATTATTGATCAGTATGAAAATCTGACCGTCATATCAGGATACTAATCATCAGCAGGCAGCTAATGCACAATTTAATTTAAGATTTGTCATATTTTTATTTTTCAGAGGAGCTGGTTACAGTCAATTGTGAGATTCTCCATTTGTCTTATGTTTTTGTTGAATATATCAGCTGAACATCCCTCAGATCAGCGAAACGCTTCTGATGTTTTTCTCAAATCATTGTCGGATATCGTGCAAGAATTAGAACTAAGAAGGATGACCAGCCCAATCAGGTGTGATGAATCACCAGATGTAAGAGAGCCCTTCTTGTATGGAGACAATTTAGCAGCACGTCAGGAAGAACACTCCCATTCACACGCTGAATACCATGCAGGGTCAATTTCGATGCTTAACAGAAATGATCCATTCACCAAAAGGTCTCAGTTTAAGGAAGTCAAGAAATTTAAAAGACAGCTTAGGAACCAAAGCTCAGGTTCTAGGAAGCAAGTTTCTCGGAAGCCGAAGAGGATGCATGCTGAGTTCAATCTCGGTTCTCAGAATGTTTCACTCTGTAAGTCACATTATTTTATCGTTCTTTCTTTAGTCTTCCAGTTTAATATTATTCTCATTGGTACAAAATTTCAGCTTCAAATCTATCACCAAAAGGAAATCATGTCTTTGCTGCCTCCAATGGGCCACTAGATGTGGTCTGAGCCAGAGAAAAAAGTCAAATGTTTTCTGTTCAAAATCTTACATATTTTGGTAGAAACCGATCCAAACAACAGAAAGTTTGGAAATTAACACCTGAGGAAGAGGTATTATTAATTATTTTAATACAGATCAAACAGGATTTAAATTATTTAAATGAAGTCTGTTGTGGTGTTGCCATCTAACCACATTTAAAAGATGATAATTGTAAACACTAATATCTTTTCTTGAAGTTGCTTTTTAGACTTGCAAAATTTTAAAGAGGAAACATATTGTGTACCTACTTGCTTAAATTTATACCCTGTCCAGAGGGCTCTTGTTCATGTACAAGAGCAATTCAAAAAGTAATCGGTTTTTGGCAATAAATTTTGAACTGTTAAATATAGGGCTCTATAGCATTTGGAAGTAGACTCATGTAAGTTTACATGCAGGGAATAATTTTTTTCGGAGCACTTTTTCTAACAGTAAAAAGTTGGACAAAATAAGGCAATTCCCTTCGAGTTTCGGCCACAAGTGAATAGGAAAAGTTATGTACAACTTGCAGCATTCAAATTCTTTCCTCCCAAATCGAAACTTTCCTCCAGTCAGCTTACGTGGAAAAGTTGTCTTTAATGAAGATAATTTCAACCTTTATTTATTACCGTATTATTACCGTATTTTCATCAGTTCAGCGGTCCAAGTGCGGGTTCTCAAATTTATATTAACAAGACAAAATCTTTATGAACAATGACTCGATCAATTGCTCATTCATTTCAAAAAAAATTTCCAAACTAGTCTTCGACTTGTAGCCCATCTTCAGCAATTAGTGCAACTAAAATTCATTCTAATTACTGAGCAAAAGTGATTGAAGTGAGTCAGACGATCTACCTAATTTTTGTGGCTTAAAAAAAAGTTCTGCCTCTGACACTCGCCCTGAGATATAAACAGTGTACAACCATCCAACGATCAAAAAATTGCTCAGCAACCTTGACTTGTTCTAAGAAAACTAAGACTCTTGTTTCTTTTTTATGGTCTTCATATTTGTTACACTAAAATAATTTCTTCCTGAGAAACAATGAAAATTTTCTTTAATTGCGCCATAAAAATTGCAACTCTTAATCTGTTTAATGTGTACCTATGTATTTGGAAGAAGATTTTTATGCAACTTTGGCTAATTTTTTACAGCACACAATATTTCTCCCAAGAATTCATCACGGGATAATAAGTTGTCAGTAAACGGTAACAGAAGCAGAAAGGATGTTCAGTTTTCTAAACCATCCACTCTTAGCAGACTTCAGCAAGGAAATACATGTAAGTTCCTAATATCACCATTACTGCTATATGCTGGTGACTATCAATTCAAAATTGAAATTGAGATGTTGGTGAAGAATTTTTAAAGCGCGTAATGTCTCAGCATTAGCCATCTTGAGCCCTAGCATTTTGCTTCTTTCATTTGTTTGTAGTACTCGTTGTCTCCATGGTGAGTGTGCAGACGTGAGAGAGTAAGTGTTGTAGGGAGGGACTGTCTTTAAACTATAAACACAAGTATCTAATTTCTGCTTCAATTTTGGACATTTTCTATATGCACGGAAAAAATTAAATTGCTGATTTAACAATTCAATCGCTAAAAAAAAGTGACTGCAATGTTTCAGTGTAGATTTCACAACACAAAAATGCTACTTTAACCACCCGCATGGTTAAATTAGCTTACAATAGTGGTTAAAGTAGCATATTTTTGTCGTAAAATCTACGTTGAAACATCGCAGTCACTTTTTTTAGCAATTGAATCGTTAAATCAGCAATTTAATTTTTTCCGTGTGTTGAACATGTTTTGCATTTGCAACATAATGCAAAGCAGTGTCTCAATACTGTGGAGGAAGTCCAGAAGGAATGTGACAGTGTGTTTGGCAATTTAGAAAAAAAAAACGACTTCCTGGGATTGTTCAAGACTTAGGGAAGACACTTAAATCACTGAAACAATGGAGAGGGGCAAAATTTCAACGATAATTGAATGTCACAGAAGAGGAGGTTACTAAGTTTTGGCAGCTGTTAAGTAAATTGATGCTGTAAACAGAGAACTAAAAACCAATGTATTCGTTAAAAAAAAAAAAATTTAAACCATAGCGTTATTTCAATTCAATTGGACTATTTCAAAGGTCAGGAAGGTTCTAGTCCAAGATCTTTAGCTGTCAGATAGTGAAAAAATTAATTATGGTCACTGCATTCTCGGAAAATTCCATTGGCTATCTCAGTTTTAGTCAGTGAAAAATCACTCTTCTCTTTTAATTTCAGTGCCTATGATTTATGATCAAGAAATCGCCGCAGAAGTTCGCAAAAAATCCCCTCGAATCAACAAATATGTAAACAAAGAAACAACTAGTCAAGCAATCTTATGTCACAATTCATGCAACATGCACGATCAAATGTCGAATTGGAAATCATCTACTACAAGAAATTTCCCCACAACAGTCAGTTACCATTCAAATTTTATTTTTGGCCCCAATTTTAATAACAAAAGCACTGCTTCCCAAAGTATTTGGGGTATCACCTCTGTCTTAAAACCAAGTTTTGATTCTAGTTCATTCTCCTATGCCCCAAAATATTTGAGAAGTCATCAGTACCAAAATCTTGATCTCCGTAAGTCACATGCTTCTTCATCTACAATGAGTTCCACAAAAGCTGCAAACTTTTCAAAATCCAAAATTCCAAACCCCAAAAAATCAGCCTCGAGCTGTTTCCAAACCGACCCAATCTCTAATGAGCAACTTGTCTCAGAGATAGCAGCCAATTTCACCGGAAATAAAACCAACGGAAAAAAATTCCTGTGTCCTGGTGATTTAAAGAAAGACACAAATCATTCCGTCATCAAAAGTGACTGTATTAATCAAGGTCTGGAATGTGTAAAAATCAGCAATAAATCTCTCAGTGACGGCAATGTTACTGATTTTCGAACTGAACTTGTATTATCCTCCACTAAACCCTGTCCAACAAATGGCACATTCATTTTGCACCCTTCAAATATAAGTGCAGAATTTACCAAAAGATCAAATAATAATCATTGTGAACCACTGATTTTAGCAGCAATCATTGAAATTTCAACTAATAATTCTCAGTATTTGCTCTCTCCAAAGGAGAATATCTGCATTAACTTCTCTCTTCTGCCCAGTTCTGAAGAATTGAGCTCTGTGCAAAAAAAGAAGAATTTCCTAGTTGACTGGAGGAACGACTCTCTTAACGCTAATATTCAGAATAGGATGCAATTCAACATGCATAAGTTAAAACAAGCATCTGTTCCTAACATCCTGATCACATTTTCCATGAAAGATTGCAATGCGTCCTCTGTTAATGGTGCTCAATCAGCTAATCATTCAAATCCAACAAAGGCCCCGATTTTAAAAATTTGTTTCAAGTTGCCGAATATTAGTAGCAATTTTATTGAAAGTTTTCCGAATACCTCTGGCAGTGCTTCTCTTGGATCTCTTTTAAGTTCAAAGGTAAATCCTCAAGAAACTTGTCAATCTAGGAAATTTGGCTCGCACTCTGAATGTGCTCAGGATATTAGCAATAAAAAACAAGACACAACTCCAAATTCCTTTGGCATATCAAGTCCTAAACTAAATGAAGAAATGAAACAAACAAATGAAGCCAGCAGGAAAGAGAACAAATTTAGAGATGAAAGTATTTGCCCAAGCTCACTTATCAAAATGAGGATAACAAAGAAAATAATTTCAACCGAGAAACCCTGTGCACCATTCCAAGAAAAGAGCAAGTCTGATTGGAAGACTGTGACCACAATTAACCGTAATAACTCAACTGTAAGAGGAAACACAACGTACTCTATTTTGAGTGTGTCTGAAGCTACAGAGCATCAAATGTTGAATCAACCGTCAACTCCTATCAGAAGTTCCCTTCAGTTGCAAGATTCAGTAGAAATCGGTAGTAGAAAACTGCAGTTGCTGCAAGAAATAAAGAAACTACTATTGGATGACACAAGCCCCAATAACAAACAACTTGAGGAAGTAAGCAGTCTAAATATGTCAGGACCTGTAGAAAAACTAAGCCTCAACAACTCAAGGAAGCTACCATGTACACTAAAAGAAGGCTTAGAAGAGACTATATACAATGAAAGAACAGTCAATTTGACACGAGAAATGATTGATAACACTGTGAATGCATTTCATGTTGTTACAAAGTTGCCATTTTTAATGAGCGGTACTGGAAATGATAACTCAAAAACAGCCTTCCAGACTGACCTTGCAGACGATAGTATCTTCTCAAGATTTGGGAGTGCTAATGAATTTTCTCTGAAAATTTTTTTAAATAACCTAGAGGTCTACAATAATCTAGTCACTAAAGATCTTTTTTCTCGTGTTGTAAACAAAGAGCAAAGTTCATTGAAAAACGAAACTCCAGCCGCATCCAAGCCAAAAATTACAACTAGAAGTAGAAGCCGTAATAAGCTGAAACTGTTCCCGCTTGGAGGTGTAGCTACCAGAATTCTTAAGGGGTATAAAAAGAAGAAGAGTAAACTGGAAAAATTCAGTAACAAAATAATTCCGAACACAAAGGGAAAGCTTCATTGCTCTGAAAGTAAGAGACGAGGAGAACGACCTAGTGTGCTTACAGACAAATTTATCAATGATCTGAATGATTTCAGTGATGAGATTACTTTCCAAGGAAATCCATCAAATTCATTCACTCTGAGAAGTCTAAAATGGTTTCACAGTGTCGATGAGGCTACGAAGAAAGATTTCGATCAGAGAAATTACCTAAGACGCAAACCTCTTGTTCTGAAACGAAAAAAGAAATTAAAAGGTCTTCCTTCAGCAATGGGTAATTACAGGAACCTCCGTAACGAAAAAAGTTCGAAACAACCTTTTACCCTGACGAATAATCCTACTTTTTTATCATCGGATCCAAACTTTTCATTTAAAGTACCACTTTTGCAGGAACGTAGTCCATTGTCTCTTGACCAAAATTACCATGATTTTGATTCTGACGCAAGGTCATCTCCTTACCCTGGTCTTTATCGGAATTCGGATGCATATAGTGTTAAAATTGTAAGCAAAAACAGCAAAGACCCTACATATTGTGAACCAAAAATCACAGTTCCCTTTTCTGAGGCCTCGAACAATAGAAACTTTAGTATTCCATCACAAATCCCTTTACCTCATGACGATTTAGCACAATTTTCTCTTGATAATGCAGACACTGAAGCTAGACAAAATCCAGAAGAGTATCCTTTAATTCTAGGGACTAACCAGAAACTGGCAAAGTCTGTGGTGCTCAATAAATTTGATCCCATTATTGTCGGTGACTCAAAAAATACCCATCATTTTTCTCCCGTCAAGTTAATGAACAAAAGAGATTTTGATGTAAGAGCTGTTCATCCAATCAACAATTTATCAGCTCCTGAAGGTTACGATAAAATGAAATCAGGATTTGAACCATTCTCTCCCGAGTCATTTTATGTAAAATCCCAAATCGCTGAAAATTCAACGGATCAGAATAATCTCGATTCATCATCAGAGTTGATATTTTCTACAAGTGGAATCTCCTCCACTGTCTCAGCTGTTGCTGCACATTTCACCGCAGGCAACTACACATTTGCAAACTTGATGAGCAATCTTGACGCCGATAGTATCAACCTAACTACTAATGCTGGTCTTGGCATGAACAAGTCAAGTTTGTCTGATATTACTCCAAATATTCGAACAACCACCCCTCATCTTTCGTCTGTTTCCAAGGCTAACAAGTTTGCAAATAATTCAATAAACAATGTTTCTGTTCGCAATCTTTCCTCAAAAAATTCTGCAAAAAGTCAGCCAGCATCTTATTTGAATCTTTTCAATCCCGAATTTCGCCAATGTCAAACCGGTAAAAACCTTATCAACGAGTCCTCTTCAAGCATGAAACCTCGAAAATTTCTGCCTGTGTCCATCACTCAGAGCCGAAATCTGAATCTAAGATCTTTTGTTGATAGTAATATTTCTTATGTTAGAAATTTAAATAACTCCAGAACAGCACCTGATGTTCAATATATTGATGGTGGTCTCGCAACAAATGAAAGTGTATTAAGCATCAATATTGAATTGCCGTCTAAGAAAGAAGTTAAAATAAAGTTTAATGATGGTCTTTCCACATTGACCACAACTCAGGCGCCTAACAATGCCCTCTCAGATACCTCCAATTTGATTGTCACCGAGTCGAAAAATATTCCTGTTAATGATACAACAAACTCCATTCTTTCCAAATACAACATGAAAGGAAATTTTTTACCTTCTTCTGTGGAACAAAAAGATGTCTCAGGCTTGTTCAAAACTGATTCTACTAGAAGTTTATCTCAATTTTCTAAGCTTTCTTATGGCAATATTTCGGAAATGGTAACAGACCAATTTTCTCTGATCAACAGTGGTGTTTACGTCATTCCGAGTTTTTTTGAATCTCTAAACGATTCCCTTATCTTTATTACGCACAATGATCCTTCCGGAAGTAAGATCTCCACTAATTTGCATCGTCTCCTTGCTGAAAAATTACAATCCCAGAACTCGTCAATCAATTTTATACAGAACACTACTATTTTTAGAATTCCTGTCCTTGTTTCGAACATATCAGATGTATTATGCAAGAAATTGGACAGGATAAATCCGTCTATCGCTAATATTTCTACCTCTCAACAACCGATCAAGTCAAATTCGATGGCCGTAGGCTTATCAAGAAACTTCAATAAGACAAAAAATTCTTCGACCTCAGATTTGAAAAACATCCTCTTAAAGAGTGGGAATTCCTCTCATGTGAATGAATCTAACAATTCGAATCCTTCACCTATTTCATCTAAAATTGATTCAAATTTGAATCTTCTGCGCCACGAAAACGTAACTAGCAGGAAAAATAGTATCAACCGGAGCAGTGAAAGCACTGCTAAATCTCTAGTAGGTACATAACTTTCCTTGCTATTGTTATTTTAGTTTTTTGAAGCATTTGAAAGCAAGAAAAACCTGTTCATTAAAAAATAATAAAGATGTCGTTTTATCAAAACCTTGAGTTAAGGTGATTCGACGGTTGCCATTTTTTGTGTCAGAGCAACAATTGATATATCGCATCAATTTGTTCCATAATTTCAGCTACTTGTAATTTTTTCGAATTTTAAGATTGCACTTCTGTTGTCATGAGTCTAAAGAATTCAAGTACCAATGTGACAAAGGAACTCAACGTAAAAAAGGCAGGGTTTTTTAGAGGAAAAATATCGCATTCGATACTGATTTCAAAACTTCACTAGAATGCAATTTATTCCTTTGAGAAAACTCTACATTCAAAACGTTGAATTTCTTTGTCAAATTAGGTACTTGAATTTTTTTAGTCTCATGGCAACAGAAGTGCGATCTCAAAATTCGAAAAAAATGACAAGTAGCCGAAATTATGGAATGAATTGATGCAATATATCGCACGGCGCTCTAACACAAAAAATGGCAACCGTCGAATCACCTTAACCAGGCTTTTTTAAGCCAGGATACCTCGCACCAGCCTTTATCACTGGCGTGTCAGCTGTAAAACTGAACGAGAAATTGTCAGTATCCTAATTTTGCTGTTTTAGTCAGGTGCTTTTACCAGAGTCATTTGTTTTTCTGTAAATTAACAAGCTTACATATTGAATTACTGCTGAGTTCTATTTATAAAGAAAAAAAAAAAAAAAAAAAAAAAAAAAAAAAAAAAAAAGTCAGGGAATGGAAACAATCTAATTTTTAATTGGTTACTGTGAGGAGGACGAAACATTGTATGTTATGTAGAGATAGGCGCATGGACAAAAAAATACTACAATTACAGCCTAAATGCTGTTAATAATAGGGCTGAGCCCACATCTTTCTGAAGTAAAATCAAAGTCAAAAATGCCAAAAATTGGAATGAGGATCTAAGAATTATGACCTCCCATACATATCAGTACAAAACTGAGAGCGAGAGCTTTCAGTGTAGACACTAGAAAGGTGCATTAGAAATGCTTTGCTGGAATCCCATAGACAGGTGTGCAGAGATGTTAAGCTGGGCCGTCAATGTCGATTTCTCCTCCCTCTCAGCTTAGTAGTGAAACAAGAGTTTATATTTTTCATTAGTTCTAATTTTCAGAACTTTTTTATTCTGATTTTCCCCCAGAATAGCAAGAACCGAGCGGAACTCTATTACCTTGTTAGCCTTACGGCAAGGATAAGTAATTGATACTTTTTCTCATTTATCACTCCTAATTAAGTATTACTTGTCTTTCTTTTCCAGGAATTTCATTTTTTCCCTCGAGATCATTTGCCACTGCTTCTAGTCTCATCAACAGGAAGGCTGGACACTCTGGACTCAAAACAGAAGTTAAGAGTAAGATGCAGTTTTTAACACCTCTTATTCTATTGAATATGTCCTCTTCAACTGAAGCCTACTTGTGGAATGGATCGTCAGCGAATTCATCAATGAAATTGCCAGTTGAAACATCGACATTCAACAAGGTCAGCCCTGTAACATTATCATTTCCAGAGAACAGCTCTCTGCCTCCTGCCTTTGAAAAACCACTGGTGATTAGGAATAATTTAAGTCCCCCTCCGCAAGAAAGTGAAACAAAAACTGTCAGTGTAAGCTCTAATTCATCACAAGATCATAACTTAGAATGTTCAATGAAATTGCTCATGTACAATGACACTAATTTAAGTCACCATGAGTTCTATCTTATGAGAGGAAACCAATCAGATGGGCTCCTTTTTCATGATTTCATCATGCTAGCCCAGAAAAATGGAACAAATTCAAGCTTTAAACCTGTTTTTGAATCTTTGAAGTCCTCTGCAACCTTCAGTCCAGTTATCCAGAATATTAGTTTGTTGAAGTTCTCTTCTAATCATACCCCTCCATCTTTTTTATCAAACTCTAATATCCCTTCAATTCAGTTTCTCGATCGGACAAGAAATGAGACAATTAGTTTGCCTGGTAGAACAAACACACCTGAGATATCAGCAATTTTAGATAGCGAGGGAAGCGTGAGTCAGCTCACGGATGATGTCGGAAAATATGCAGAAATTAAAAACAGTCAAGTCTATGTTACTAAAGGCTCCATCATTCATAAAAATGTTTCCAGCCAATCTAATTTGAACTGGATGCAAGAGAAAGGTGGTAAATATTTCCCAAGCTCTACGAAGGTCTCTGAAAATAGCCTAGTTTCCTGTTTATCACCTACCATGGAATCTGTTGGAATGAAGAGAAAACCACTCTCTGTAGATCTTGTACACCACACTGAGTCATCAAGTGCAGCAACTCCAAATTCTATCACTGCTACTCACGCCTTTCTTTTGAAAGGCATGAGTGCAAAGTCTGTATATGGTTCAGCGAAACTTGCAAAAAAATGTACCCTTCGAAGTGTTTCCTCTAGTAGTAACACATCAAAAATCTTGAGCAGTCTCACAAATTATGAGAATTTATCAACCACGTCATTTTCCAACATCAGTCTATCACCTGCTAAAACCTCTAAATCATTTAATGATTGTATGTTGAAAGCAACCAGTGTAAATAGTAATCAATCAAGCAACTTCTTCACTACCAACACCACCCGTGATTCTCAGTGGCAAATGAATGGATCTAAAGTTAAGAAGTATCAAAATGGCGAAAGAACATCTATAATGAAGAACCCGGGGGAATCCCAAGTTAAAGAATTTGTACCAGTAAAAGAAAAATCGCCAAAAACTTTACCATCAGATTTTCCAGCGAAAAAAAATGCTTTATCTAGTAACTCCGTCAAATCTACCGTAGATACAGTGTCATTCCCTAAACATACTAGTTCGACAACTGAATTTAGATCTCTGAGTAGTGCAAGGAGCATGTTTAATCAAATAAATTTCACAGCTAACAAAATCAGCCCATTATCTACAAAAAAGTTTATCAATTTGAATGAAAATAAAAGCAAAAATGAAGGAACAACAGATTCTCAGAATCTTAAGATACTGCCGCAAATGAATGATGATATTTCCGAAGCTAAATCCTCAAATTTTTCAGAACTGACGATCAGTGATATCACTGAAAGCCCTCTCTCAAGTACTAATACATCAAGTGAAAACCAACTTTCAAACATTCAGTTTGAATCGCCGAATATGGAGCTAACGCAGCCTGAACTCGAAGATTTAAACTCAGTGATTGACTTAAATGACTTGTACAACTTGCAGCTAGATAGCAATACACTTAGTGAACATGTAGAAACTACCACTCTGCCTTATCTATCAACTAACTTCATTCCTGAATCCTCTATCCATGTCCCATCTTTGAGCACACGGTCAAAGCAATCTTCAAATCCCTCGGCAAGATCAGATTGTTTCTCTCCTGTGTCTAATGTCTCTTTTCAAACAAATTTCATGCAAATGAGTGATTCTCCCAGTGTTGTTCTGTTCAATCGTGCCAATAGATTTTTACCTGTTGTTGATCCTCAACAAATGTTGATGGCCCCAAACAAATCTTTTTCCAATCATCAATCAAACCTTGACACCTATGTATCTGTTGCTCCGTCTGTTAGACAGCTTTATTCATTCCGTTCTCAAGATAATTCGCCAGCTAATGCGATACAGAGAGCCAACTTGGACAGTAATCAGAACAGCCTGATATCAAATGTCAGAGCAGCTTATCAGACTACCATCAAACCTCACTTTATGACAGAAAAATTATCCTCGCTTCAATCCAGTAATGTTTTTACTCCATATGTAACAGTCCGGCAAAATTTCCAAAACAGTAATCGAGGTCAAACTTTCACTTCTGCTCAAGTGACTTTGTTTTCTCAAAATAACAGTCAAAGTAATTTTTTCAATGTTCCTTCCAGATTTTTCGTATCCAACAAGTTTATGTCAGATCATTCAAGAGAACTTGTGCCTATGCCTGAGACAAGAATTTCGTCAGTTCCACAAAGTGTCTTTGAGAATTTTTCTCCAACTCCTCAAAGTTTCCACGGTTTTCCTTCCACATCAGCAGATACGAAGGCTCTTCCAGAATCTGATCAGTTTGCATCTCTACGAAATCTCAACTCTTCTCATCTTGGGGTTAAACCGATTGTTCTTTTATTCAATGCATACAAAAAGAATGGCTCCTCCCATCATAACCAATCAATAGAGTTCAGCGATCTACCAACATCAGACGTGAAAACCATTTCAAAAAATAGTAAAACCCCTCTCCTGGCAGTTTTGAGAGAGCACAACAGGCTGACTGATACCCCATTGCCAATGAATTCCTCAGTCCAAAATAAATTAATTGGTATGCATTCTGCCAATGAAGTGTACAGCACTGAGCGTCTCATAGGAAATCAATGTGAAATAACAGCTTTTAAAAATCCTTCAAAACTTGAGAGTGAACAAAATTTTTTATTGAAGCAATTGCCGGGACTCCAGATAGCGTCGTCAATGATGCATCCTAATTCTGGCCCTGCCACTAAAACTTTTAATTTGGCAGTGCCTTGCGAAAATGATAGCCAGTTTCTTTCAAAATCTGCTTTTAATTCTGTACCAATTTCAAAAGGAGCTAAATCTTGGTTTGATGATCCTCTGCTTGACTCCTCTTCTGGTAGCATGCTCAAGCTAGATTTTGCACATACTATTGAACCTCCTCCGTTGTTACTGAACTATCTCATTGGACCCACCAAAAGTGTTGGCTACCCCAATATTGTGAATCCTTCTTCAAATGGCTCTGCTCCTGTAAGCTGTATCATTATGCCTAACATGAGTAACAGTCAAGTTGGTTCTGTGCTGCCTGTAAACAAATGGCTGCTAAATTTTTCTTTTCCGTTTGAGCCAATGAATGGTGCTCATACTGCTTCATCCGATTGGCAAACTGCTTCAAAAATTGGAATCAACGAATCACCACTAAATGTTTCTAACAGATCCTTCAAATTAATTAGTCTTCCTCAAAACGATCTACATTTTAAATTGTACAGCGAGAAAAATAACAAAAGTCCTACAACCTTATCAGAATCTATTGTGTCTCAATTCAATCACCTGAAAGCTCTCCGCGATGATATAGGTGAAAAATCCTCCAAACCTCATCTCTCTGAAAGTCAGCCTTCCCCTTTTAACAAATTTTTGAAGACCAATGAAGAGAGGGATGTAGAAAGTTTGTGCCATCTACTAAATTCCTCTGGAAGCAATTTCCAAAATACTGATTCCTTTCCTAATCATTCAAATAAACAAGACGATGAAATTGATTTTCGTATTGGGTTGTACCATGACTCTTTAAGGAACTCCCAATCTCCCAAAAGCACACGTATTTCCAAGGATGATTTGGACCTAGATTACACTGTGAGAAGAAGAGACCCACAATCAGAGTTTCAACCTGTTCAACCCCCAATATTACTGTGGAATTCTCCATCTAATTCTCCCTCAAAAATTATTTTTAACAGCTTTCCCAAGATTTTTTATGACAGCCCAAAGGAACTTTCCTCTCAGGAAAGATTTCTCGGTGAAAATCCTAAAGTATTTGCTTTGAGTCCCTCTCTTCAAGTGATAAATCCTGTTTTTTTACTCCCTAATGATGATGCTATTACTTCTGCAATGAGAGGTCAACTTGAACCTAGTGCATATGACCCCTCAGTCGCTTTTATCAAAAAGCAGAGGAAGTTGGCCAAGTTCTACCAAAATGTACTCCCGAAAAAAAGTGACAAAGAGAAATCAAAAAGTGTCATACCATGGGATTTTGCACTCAGTATTCCTTCGAATTTAACTCCAAATCTGAAAGAAACAGCCCTTCCTGGTGTGGGTGCTGCTTTTTTTGTTGAAGACTCTCTCAAAAAGTCAGCTTTTAAAAATACCTCCATTGACCTAACTGTTTTGTCAGAGGTAAATAATGCTAACTTGGGGCATAAAATCTCTGATAAGATATTCAAGGTGATAAATGAATCTGGATCAGAAACTAATCATAGTCCAAGCACTTTTAATGCTATGAAAAGCAACGTGAATCAGCAGAGTGTTACGCCAGTCCATTTCCAAGTCACTGCGAAGATTGATTGGCCGGACCAAAAATTAGGCGAAAAAATTCAGAACTCGCCGGTTATCATTCAAGTATTAATTCAGAACAGAACAGATCCAACCAAAAATCCACCATTTGATCATAAATCGAGGGTGAATTTTCATAAAGGTATGAAAAGCAGCCGTAGAAAAGTCCATCCTTGCCTTACATCAAATTGCCATTCTTTTAGACATCCAAGAAAGAAATCTGGTCTTCACTCGAGACATTATCGTTCGAGAGATTCTGGATTTGAGAAATTATCTCACAGTACAGAAGAATTTCCACATTCTTCAGCCGAACTCAATCATGGAATTTCTAAATCCGCAGCCCAGCATGGTGAAAACAATTTTTCCAGCGGGTCTTTGAGAAGAGAAAAACAAGATTTTAGTAACCATCATCACTTGGAAGCTGGCCAATTGAGGTCCAAAATATTCCAACAGTCCCTCAAGAAGCCAATATCAGCGCAGCCACTTAATCATCGTCATTGGCACTCTGCAAAGGCAAATTTAAGAATCACTCCATCAAATGGCTCCCGAAATGTAGTCGGTCATCTTCAGAGAAAATTGAAAAACTACGACTCCGGAAAAATGTCAAATAATCTGTTTGAATACAGTGACTATGACCCTTGGAATTGGAATTTAACATCTGCAGATCTGATTAACTCTGGCTCGTCTGAACAGCTAAGTCCTGATTGGTTCATTTTACCCAATTCAAGTCCTACTCCGAGGAAAAATATAAATCCTAGATGGGCACAAAAAACACAGGAGGAATCTGTAGTGCCCACAAAAAGCTCAGAGTTTTCTGCCGAAGACTGTAAATTAGCGTATGGCAGCAAGTGTGTCTGTGATATGAGTAAAGTTTTGACTGATTATGATACTATAATATGTGATGAAGAGAGCACTGAAGAGGCTAAATTACGAGCTATTTTAGAATACCGATGCTCATCATACTTGCCTTTACCAGCAGGCTATTATATTGACAAAAGTACCAAGTCGTTGCCACTAGACGTAACGGAGCAAGTGGCTCCAGAAAATTTGAATGGCTCCAAAGAAATAGATGAAGAAATTTTAAGCCATTTGCAAAGAGTTGACATAACTTCAATAGGTAAATACGAGTTTTTGATTTGTTCATTTTTCCGTAGTTTGAATACTTGAAGTAAAAACATAAAAACTTAGGTAATGGACTACACAAGATAAATAATCAAGAAAAAATTTATTATTAAAAACTTACTTTTTCTTTTTGAAAAAATTTTACAGGATCAGTTCCAAGTACGTAGCTTAGCTTCAGTGATTCTGTTTATCCGTAGTCTTCTTTATCGCTGCAGATGAGCAACGCACTCAAAACCTATCCCGAAAAATTATTTTGAAAAGAATGTGCTAGTGATTTGTTCGTTTTATATTTTTTCTTGTTAGAATACCCTTTCTAAAGAGAAGTTTTTGTACTTGTTTAAAATCTAATATTCTTCATACCCAATGAAAAGTAGATTTCAAATAGTTGATAAATTTCCTATTGCAATATAGAACTTGTAGCTGTCTTCAGTTAGTTTAATATGTCAGCAACCAAAGCACTCTTCAACTGAAATGACTGCATAATAAGTGCATGGTCAGGTGCTGACATCCTATGTATCTCCGCTTAATGTTCCTCCTCATTTTTAAATTTGAGCCAAAAATGACAGGACAATCTAGACCAGAATCAAAAAAAAACCTTTCTGAGACGGTTTGTGGAACTTTGAGATCATAACTTGTGTAACAACAAATATGCATGACTTGGTGCATGATTTGTCATCCTTCAGTCCAATATTACTCAAACATTTTTTGTACTCAAACATTGCTACCGTTTAACTTTGTTCTAAAATCAAGGAAGCTGTCAAGCACTAACATTATACCTTGCTGCCAATGTCTTAATCTAATTACCATGAATTTTGTCCTCTTTTTTTTCTTTACCTTTGCAGGCACCTCTCGTTTGCGCTATGCTTTTGTAGGATCAAAAGTTGAAATTCCATGCTACGATAATTTCCAAACGCCTATGCCAATCAAAGCAACTGATAGCATTCAGTACAAATGGCAGAAGGGGAAGAAAGTTATCACTGGTGAGTTTTGGAGACATTTTTACCATGTATTTCAGAATGTTTTGTTTTTTAATGCTTGAAGAGCTTTTCATAAAATGGAATTCACAATTTAAGTCCAATTTTAAATTTGATATTATATCAGATAGTAACTGGGAAGTACAATAATTTCTGAAAATTCGAAAATAACTTTTTAAGTCAGTAAAACTGACAGGACCTTTGTACATTATACTGTTTTCATAAAGCAGTAGCAATTGTGAAACTTAGAAGACATGCAAATTGATTTGCAATGTCATACATTCTGATTTATTCTTTTATCATAGGAAAATTGATAGATACCCGTTTTCATCGATATTTAATGTAATATTTCTTGGTTGCAGAGGGCCGAATGAAAGAATCTCCCAATGGTACTCTCACAATTGACAGTGTTGTTATGATGGATACTGGCATATTTTTTTGCATTATTTCATTTAGCAGTCCTGAAATGAAGAATCAAGAACGCATCTTCAATCACACTCTGTCAGGTAAATGTTGTGATTGTTAAATTTAATTTCTCCAATATCTAGCTTTCCTCACTTTTTCTCAGTCATGAATCTATTTCATCATCACTCAAAATTCTGCATTTGAAAAAAACTTTTTCTTTCTCAGCAAAATTATTTTGAGTTTAAGTCAAAGAAGTCTCCAATAAAGGAGTTTGATGAACAACACATTATGTACCAGAACTCTCTGAAGAATACATTTTAAATGGCTTCCACGTTTTACACGTGATTGAGCATGAAAATCATTCTCATCAAAAATGAACTGTGGTCTGTAATATCTTGGAGGTAGAGTCCATGCTATTTTTAGTAAACAACCCTGTTGATAAATTAAGTGGGACTCAGTTTCTGTTCTCTAACTTTCATCCATTTTATTCTACATCAATAGGAGCAGGTTCATGTACCTGAAAATATGAATATTTTTTTTTCTGTAATTCTGATTTCCAATTAAAGTTAACAGTCAACAATGAAGCTAAGACAAAAAAACCTAATAAGTTGAAAAATAGCACTGAGTTGTTGTGCTCAGGTGATCAGAAGTGGCAGAAAATTTGACAAGTTCTTCGTAAAACTTAATTTGCTGGGACCTTTTGCTTTAATTTAAAAAAAAAAAAAAAAAAAAAAAAAAAAAAAAAAAAAAAACGCTAGAAAGCTGAGAATATCAGCTTTTCAACGGAATGTTTAAAATTTCTCAAATTACAGTTGTTACTGCATAAAGAAAGTACAGAAATTTATTTATTATTTCAGAAAAAATTCTAACAAATTCAGAAATCCTCTCTTTTGCGCAGAATTTTTCGATATAAGCCTAAAAACTGGTCAATTTTGTGAAAAATTTTATCTCTATTTCAGTGTTTTCCTCCTTCTGAAATGCAGTTGTCATTAAAATGTGCGATTTTGCTCTGAATTTACTCATTGCCATTTGCCATCATACACAACTTTAGTCTCAAGCCACTAATATGTCTCTTTTTAAGCAGTTCTTGTTCTCTTACAGTTAAAAAAGTGGAAATGGCCATTTTTCGAAATTATCAATTGATGTATTGAACTCTTGTAATATTTTTGTTTTGTCTTTTTTCTCAGTGGTTACTGTACCCAAAATTACAACTCAAGCTGTGATTCATCTCAAAACCAACGCAAGATGCAAGCCTGAGATCCTTCAGATGCTTAATTCATACATCCCACAGTTAATTCAAGAATCGATTTGCGAGGCTGGTGAAAAGGATAATGAGATTTGCGAAATTGGTGTTTTCTATCCTCTTTGTCTTCAAAATAAAGTGAGTCTTTTAACTCGCTTTTTTTGGGGGGTGACTTTTTATTTAACCGGCACACTTAATATTCCTGTCAAATATTGCATGAAGAATATTTCTTCAATAAAAGCTCTACAACTCTTTTAAGTAAGGACATATACCCAAGAATGAGAATGTTAGTTCTTACCGCTACGAGTAAGTACGCAGTAGCACCAAGTCTTTTTTAAAACCCATGATACAAATTGACCAGAGGGAAATTTTTTCTCTCAGAGCAGAAGCCATCTGCAAATCATGCAATGCTGAATGCTAAATTAAATTTTAATTTGAAAAAATTTAGTATTTGGCGACTCATACCATATGAAATTGAAATGAGGAAAATTATCTATAAAACTGGGTCGAAACTTGTATGTAATTATTTGATACTTCTTCCAGTTTGTCGAGAGAAGGTTTAAATGAGTGTTAACTTGTAAATTTCAGACAGACAGTACCATCATGTCGCTGAATGTTCACATGAACGTCCGAAGTATTGAAGATTTAATCATCCACAGCTATGCAAACAAAGCTGTCTGTGGTCCTGTATGTCATCAGAAACTATACCTAAAAACATCATTAATACTGAAGGAAAGTCTTCAGGAAGCTCTCCTAACTCCCAGTAAGGATATGTTTACAGTGTTTTACAGTTTAATCCATCGTAGTGCATGTACTCTCTTCTATATTTTTTACAAAAAATAGATAACTTAATTGATGCTTCATAACATGTCAAATTGAGCAATGAATTTTCCTGAATTAACTCCATATTTCCCGTTGCTAAGTGAGCTTACTTTTTCAAGCATAGTAAAGCGGAGAAAAATCACTTCCTCCTAAATTATTATCTGAGTATTTAATTCACTATCGTTTAAAAAATGTATATTCAGTGAGGTGTAAGTATAGTGAGAATACATTTAGACTTTTTTAATTTGTCTAGATGCAGGATAAATTTATGAATATTACCTTCCTCTTGCTTTTATCAGTCTAAATTTAAATTTGATGGCTCATTTAAAGGCTGCAAGTATTATAACAAGTTGCTCTTTGTAGATGGTCCTAACTTGGTTAATTCACATTCATTCAATAAGAAAATAATGCTTTGAAATTATGTTTGAGGCAATTGAAAGGTTGATTCTTTTCCGAACAATTTTTTATGAATTTTAGTGTAATTTTTCAATTCAATTTTTTCCAACAGTACTAGATGCAACATCCATCTCTGATATAGCTCTAACTCCTCTGCCAAGCAGTTTCAATATGAAAATGACTGTCGGTTGTGATGCTGGATTTCGTTTAGCTGAAAACTTTTGTGGTAATTCAATTTTTATCATCTTTAACCTGCAAACTGTTTCCTTTAATGCCTAGTTAGACCAGAAAATTTTCATACAATAGAGAGGATTGTTTGGGCTAGTGTGAAAAGCCAATTTAGAGAATCAAATATTGAACATACAAAAAGGAATCTAATGTTTGAACCTTCCAGCTGAGGTGGTATTAATACCAATAGCGCTCACTGTGAATGATCGACAATTTATTCAGAACACAGGCAAGCAGTGTGAATTGACTTATCATCAGATGATCTCGTCTCTTCCTTACTGAAAGGGACAGACAGAGTGTCTGACTGACATGGTTACCCACAGACAGGAGAACGAATTATTGAGTGTTCTTTTTAAACCGTCACAATTGGAACCTTAGTGCCAGCAGTGAACTGCCTAAACCACACCACTACCAAGGTTGATTTCTCTGATATGTCAGCTGAAAAATTCAGGAATCATGGACGAAGTAAGGGAAAAATGTTTAAAAATTGGTTTTATATTTTGCTGAATCTTGACGCTCTTGTGTTGTAAGGCAGATAGTATAAAAATTCAGTCAAAGTTTTATTGCAGAACTTAATTCATTTTGAATTTGTGCCTACAATTTTGATGCATTGCTGAATCCCTTGTATTTTGGAAGGTTTGTGTTTTAATATTACCTTTGTTTTAAAATTTAGTACTCTTATTCGTTGTAAGCTGATTCTACATGTTCGTTGGTCCTAATTATGATTCTTTTCTTTTTTTCAAAGTGCCATGTCCACCTCATTGGTTCAGCCCTGAAGGCAGCACAGTGTGTACGAAGTGTCCAGCAGGCTTTTACCAACCTCAAATAGGGTCACGTGCTTGCTTGCGTTGCCCTTCACCTCTCACCCAGGGTTGTAACGTAATTGTAAGTAACTGGTATCTATTGAGCGCAAAATTGTTGACTATTTTGAAAACATTTTTCAACTTTTTCGCCTTGTTTTTCCCACAAAATAGTGTGGACCCAGCACCATTCTACCACCATGTTACATAATTGTTAGTGTAACTCAAAATTATGACTTATCTTACACTCTGAAACCCTTAACAACCACCGTGTTAATCCCATTTCTAACATACCAGGGTGTCTGTAGGCCTGGCAAACCAGACATTGTCAGGAAATATTCCCAGGTCAGGGAAGTCAAAGAATTTTCTGAAAAAGACAAGAAATGTAAGAAATCCTGAAACTTGAAATCCAAGAAACATCAGGCTGTCAAGAAAGTCAGAATGAGCCCCAATCTGATGTGAGGCTCAATGCTCTGAATTACACTATGAATTGTGAATAGATGTATAATTTTCTCCCAAAAATGTTTCATTTTCCGTCCTATGCACTTAAATTTTCGATGGAAAAAGTCTGGGTATTTTTATCATTTTGGTCAGAAAATCGTAGTAAAGGTGTAGAGCAAAGATGTAGAACTTTTTCTTGCCGAGTCTATGGACCTTGTATATACTATGGAAAATTAAAAACAACGAGGTAAATGCATTAGTTTCAAAATGTTTGAAAGAATTAAGGATGGAAGACTTGTGCCTTTGACATCGGCACTTTAATCGCTGTATCTTTAATTTTACAATACTATTTTTCTCCCCAAATTCTTTTTTTTCCGAATTTGCATTATTTCATTTCTAAAATTTTACACTCGTTGTTAAACTGTTCTTCTCCTGTTATTCCAGGCAAATGTATTCAACAATCATAAGAAGGATGGAGTAAATGGATCAGCAGATGCAGGAGTCATGCCCACAGAAGTGAGTCTTTTTCTGTATTTATAATGTTTCCTCATAAAATCTATCAAATTTGGCATTTGTTAATTTTTATTGAGAGTATTCTCACTACAGAGGGAAAAATCAAAAATATTTATGGTGAGAATACTCTGCTTATAAGTAATTTATGTTTGTAACTTCACTGTATTAGAGACAATACTTATAATTCACAGCAACTCATCTTTGAATACCCTCAAAATTCAAATTTTTCAGACAGAGTATGAGCCAGATATAATAGGATTATGAGTCTGCACTGTACATTGAAAATATTAGACGGAAAACAATGTAGGAAAAACAAAAGTTGCTGAATTTTCCAAGAAAATGGAGAAGCTATCGGCCATTGATGTTGATTGTAGATGTCCACATTAAAAAATAAGATCTTGATAGATTGATTGTTAATACCTTGATTTGTTTCTTTTTCCAGAGTCCCAGCAGTGGAGATAATTTAAGGAAGATCTTATTAATATTATTATCAGCTGCTGTACTTGTCACTATAGTCTATTTGTGTGTTGGCGCCATCATACGTAAGTTTAGTCTTATACATAGGCTGTCCCAAAACAACTGGCACTAAGGCTGTCATTCGGAAACTACAATAGATATCGACATGCGGTTTACGGGAGGTGATAGCTCATACTCTTAGCTCTTAAACGAGCCTAAGTTGAGCTAATTTGGTTAAAAACTCAACGAGTTACATCAATTTTCCCGAGACGTGTAAGAAATACCCCTACGGATTTTTCGGTAATTTTTCATTCCGTTAACTTTGCCTCCGCAAGCTTTGCAAGTGGTTCAGACGTTATGAATCAAGTTTCCACTTGTCTGGATGCAAGTTTGAACTTTCCAGCAAGTGTTTCCATCACAGCCGAGAAGTTTTTTTCTGTTTGCAAAGTCCATTTAGTGAAATTGTCCGGCCTGATAACGCGTTTTTTTGTGTTTCGTCATGAGTTCACCCGCGCAGTTGAAGCAAGGGCAACGATACGCAATTCCATATTGCGTTCGTCGTGAATTATCTGCTTCTGAAACTGTGAATGAAATGACAGTGGCTCAGAGGTGTTTTAGAGGCAGATAATTCACGACGAACGCAATATAGAATTGCGTATCGTTGCCCTTGCTTCAACTGCGCGGGTGAACTCATGACGAAACACAAAAAAACGCGTTATCAGGCCGGACAATTTCACTAAATGGACTTTGCAAACAGAAAAAAACTTCTCGGCTGTGATGGAAACACTTGCTGGAAAGTTCAAACTTGCATCCAGACAAGTGGAAACTTGATTCATAACGTCTGAACCACTTGCAAAGCTTGTGGAGGAAAAGTTAACGGAATGAAAAATTACCGAAAAATCCGTAGGGGTATTTCTTACACGTCTCGAGAAAATTGATGTAACTCGTTGAGTTTTTAACCAAACTAGCTCAACTTAGGCTCGTTTAAGAGCTAAGAGTATGAGCTATCACCTCCCGTAAACCGCATGTCGATATCTATTGTAGTTTCCGAATGACAGCCTTAGTGCCAGTTGTTTTGGGACAGCCTATGTATGTATGCCTCCTCTTAAGGTAAATACAAGCTGAGGAAAGAAGTCTTAAAATACTGAGAACGTTTAATTTCTTGGAAGTCTATCTTATTTTTACGCAGTTTTCATGTTAGCAGCTTCAGCTTCGTAAAAATAATTTTGATGGTCAAATTGGGTTGCATTAAGCAAGGCCCAAACCAGTCTTTAGCACAAATTCTGAAAAAAAGATTTGATAAAAGATAAAGTTGCAATTTAGTGAGACCTCTGCAATTTTGTTTTAAATTCATCTTTGACCTTGATACTAAATCTCACTCCTTTGTTTGTCAATCAAGCAATGTTTCGTAAGAGAATGAATAGAGACAAAACATAACAAAATGAAAGGAAACAAAGCAGGCTGAAGTTTTGGGACTCCATTGTTTTTCAATCATAATTTTTTTTTCACTTTTCTACGCGTACCTTCCCTTTGCGTATCCATCCGGATAATCCCATATTTTAATATGTATGATAATGAAGTATCAATGTAAATTACTGGAAGAAAATACTTCTTATACTAATTTTCTACTTTTGTGATTACATTCTTTTGAGGTGTGCTCTACTCAAATGAAAATTTCTTGAAACCGATTTAAAAAAATTAAATATTTTCCTTCAACCTCTTCTATCATTCTAAAGGCACAGGAGCAAGCATGTATGAAACCCTGTTGTATTTTATTGTATATAATTACCTTTTAAATACCCAGAGACTCTGAGTCCATTTTAATTCTCTCTTCAATTTTTCGAAAGTGATAACAATTCTATGTCTTTACTTTTTTCAGGTATATTTTCTCCGGGAAAATCGGAAAGTTTCTCATCAGAAAAAGTACCTTTGCAGTCTGGCAGTAAAAGAGGTAAAAAATCCAAGCACAAACGGTCATCCTCTCGGAAAAAGAAAGTGGAGGTAAATTGAGAATATTTTTCATTTTTATTACCGAGAGAAGATAGTTTTCCAAAAGTTATCTTTAGATCTTTTAAATTATCCAAAAATTATCTTCTGTAAGCCCATAACATGAAGAGAGGAGGAAGTGACCAAAATCTGTTACTTCGAATTTGGCTCAACTTGTAAGCAGTGGCTTTTGCCTACACTATCAAACTGAAACTATTGCTGCAGATGTTTATATTATGCAGTCTATATTTTTTGAGTACCCATATCTTGTATGTTCTTTGACCTCCCAAAAACAGAGGGAGTCTGAAAACCTAGTTTTGTGTGACATAATTTATTAATAAACCTTAGCCATCTTAGCACTTAGAAGAAAGAAAATAAGTGAGTTTCAGGAACTAATACTGGTTATTCTTAGGAACTCAATTTGCACAATTTCAAGCAGTATAATCAATAAGATTCTGGTAGTAGATCTAGTTATTTTTTGAAGAAGGGAAGTATACCTTGTAAAAAATGCAAATATATGGTAGAGGTGAAAAAAAGTTATGAAGGTTGATCAAAGTGGTCCTCAAATAACACATCCAATGATCACCGAGACAGCCAAAAATATTTAAAATTGACGGAGCTCAAAGAAAATTTTCTTAAAAAATGTATTTACTCTAAAACTTTCTCTCCCCCCACATGAAATGACACAGCCTTTCCCTTACGAAAAAATACTGAACTGATCTGGACACGTAGAAACTTGTAAAGTTTGCAGAGGAAAACTCAGATAATGAAACATTTTATTATGATGTAGGCAATTTTAATCATATCCATCTTATAGCTATATTACTTGATGCCTCCTCCATTCAAATTATTCGTATTTTCTACCTTTTTTTCGATAGTCAGCCACTATGATCCAGAGAAAGTTCATGAAAGGACTCAAAGTATGTTGCATCGATTTCTGGTAGAAAAGGGAGATATGACAGATGATTAGGCAATGCGAACTGAGCTGGGCTAATCCTGGTGCCTTATATGTGTAGCCTCACCGAAACCTAATGACCATCATGTGTTGGCAAAGTGCGAAACTGAAAAGCCCTTTTCTGGCTTCTCAAAGAGATGTAACTGCCGTGTAATGAAAGAACTGTTTTTTTAGTCAAAAGGTTACTACTATCTTCATCTTTTTTCCTCTGTAGGAGATACCTTTGCAAGATCTGGGACCCTCCAATCTTGAAGACTCAGATGACATCTCTAGCTATGCAGAAACAAAGTTTGGTCCTAATGTATCAACAAGGAGAGAAGAACCGCTATTTCACGAGGAGGGAAATGCATTCTTAAACCAATGCAAAAATGTGAAAGAGACGGCGAGAAGCTGTAAACGTCGGAAAAAATGGTTCCCAACTTTCAGGTCAAAACGTTCCAAGAACCACGAGTACTTGGAGCTACCAGAAATTAGACCTCTAAGGAAAGGAAACGCTCTTCATCGAAATGCTGCAGTTTCAGACGAAGTAAAAAGAACTGTGCGCAGTAAGTATTGTTAATTACTTGTTTCACACCTCTTCTTCAGTGAGAAATATTTTTTTCTCACTTAAAAAAGAATAATGAAATTGAAAAGAAATAAATTGTTGAGGATAGTTATTAATTTTAAAGGTACTGCTTAAGTTTTGTGAGTACAATAAGTAACATTCGCCTCAATTTGAAAAAACCTGCCTAATTTGTAGCATTCTGGCTCTTCGAGTAAGATTTAATGAAAGTACCATTCAAGTAATATCAAGATTGACCTTTAAGGTGATTCGACGGTTGCCATTTTTTACGTCAGAGTGACGTGCGATGTATCGTACCAATTCGTTTCATAATTTCAGCTACTTGTCATTTTTTTCGAATTTTGAGATTTCACATCTGTTGTCATGAAACTAAAGAATTCACGTACTAAATTTGACAAAGAAATTCAACGTCTTAAAGACAGGGTTTTTTCAGAGGAAAAATATCGCATTCGAGAGCATTTTCGATATCAGTATTGAATGCGATATTCTTCCTCTAAAAAAACCCCGCCTTTATTACGTTGAATTTCTTTGTCAAATTTGGTAAGTGACAGTTTGGTCTTTAGTTTCATGACAATAGATGTGCGATCTCAAAATTCGAAAAAAATACGACAAGTAGCTGAAATTATGGAACAAATTGATTAGATATATCGCATGTCTCTCTGACGCAAGAAAATGACAACCGTCGAATTACCTTAATATTTGTTTCTCTAAATGTTTGTCTCCTTTTTTTCTCTATCAAGACATGTCTCTAGCTTCTCAATATAATTTTGTTTAATTTTTCTTTTCCAGCTCCTGAACGTAGAAGAAAAGAAGCCTCGTTTCAGCCTGATTTTTCCTAAACTTGATGGCCCGTTTCTTCAAATGACTGGTGTTTTCCAATGCGTAACATTTTTATGATTATTTTTAAGAGCTCTTATTCAAAGATTTTGCTGAAAGAAGCTCTTATCATCCGTCTCTGTGTCATCTTGTTTCAAATTTGTTTACTTATTTAACCATGGAATGTAAGTAGCATTTTTGTTTTTAAGTTGAGACAAAATTTGACTAAACATTTTGTAAAGAGAGAACGAGAGAAAGTCATTTAAGAAAAAAAGTGATATCAAGGAACTGCTACGTAATGCCCTCTTCACTTCCAAAACACCATAGTCCATTGAAAGTGACAAGATTAAGGGGTTAATACTCGAAATAATTGACACCGATCATTGAACAGTTTTGTCATTCCTTATGCTGAGGTACCTCTTGATTTTCCTCTCACACTAATTTTAGTTTGAAATTAAAAGCTATATCATATGTTGTAAATAATTTTGTAATGTTACTATTCATTTTAAGAAAACTAATTTTTTTTTAATAAAAGACGAGAGTTTTTTGACTGAACCAATAGTGTCGAGCAAATTTTTTCCCTCAATTTGCAGTTCATCTGTATCTGACTTACTAGGTATATTTTTCTTTCTTTCTTTTTCTTTTTTGGAGGGAACATGTATCAATAGTGGAACAATGAACATATCCAAACTTGGTACATGGAGTCAGTGCAGGAAAAAATAAAAGGCTTGATATGAGGTTGTTTTTCATTCATTTATTTAATGAATAAACAAAGAATGAGACCAAATAGACGTATCTTGTATGTAAGTAAAAAATTATTTTCTATGACTCACAAATGGTTGGATACCAGCTGTAAGAACAATTCTTATAGATGGCACATTAAGATTTTACAAAAATAGATTGAATCATAGTTTCATCATTCACGGTGTTCAAAGTTTGTAGATGAAACATCGGAGATAAAATGAGCTTTTGTCGTAGTGAGGTCATGATTTTTGAACAATTTCAGAGAAAATCTTTCAAAATGGCACCGGTGAACATAACGTACCGATCGGGCAGTATTGTCGGAGATGAGATAACTTGATATCAGGTAACTATCACAAATGAATCTGAGATGGTGCCGAGCGGAGACTCAGCAATAAATAGGAAGGACAAACTAAATTTGGTAGAGGTATTAGGAGATAGGAATCACAGAGAGAGCAGTCTAGTGGTAGTAGCTGTAGCCCAAACCATGACCGTAGAGAGGAGCGTGGTAGCCAAGGGAGTATGGAGAGTAAGCCTTAGCGGCGTATCCGTAGGAGAGGGGAGCGTGGTAGGCGCTGGCCAAGGGAGCGTGGTAGGCGCTGGCGAGGGGTGCGTGGTAGGCGGCGGCGGCGATGGGGGCGTGGTAGGCGGGGGCGGCGATGGGAGCGTGGTAGGTGCTGGCGAGGGGAGCGTGGTAGGCGCTGGTGAGGGGAGCGTGGTAGCCAAGACCGTAGCTGCTGTATGGGTAGGCGCCGTATCCGTAGTAGGGAGCGAGTCCCCGCTTTTCCTTGGCGCTCGCGTCTTCCGCGGCGGGGGCGATCTGCTCGCTGGCGGCCTGGTCAGCGGGGGTGGCTGGGAGGGCAGCGGCGGCCGCGATGAGGAGGAAGGCGCAAACCTGCCAAAAAAACAAGCATATTCTCATCAAGTTTTTTTCGAATCACCTATACGTTATTTAGATAGCCAAATTGTGAAACCACGTATCTCCGTTTGTAGCAGCCTTCATGTCATAATTAATTTTTTCTTGGGAAAACTAGTTGACGTAATCGAAGCGCTGGGTGCAGAAAAGGAAATTTCTTGGTTGCTGTGTCTCAAAATCTTCGTGAACGTTTTATTCGTTATGATTTAAGCAAATGTACGTAATTCGTTGTGACTATTACTGGATATTCTTTATGATTTTACAATGCTGGAAACGAAAAATTTCCAAGATTTCACCCTATAGTTTCCTCTCTAAATGATGAATTATCCGTGGAGATTCTGAAACACCGTACCAAAGAAATGCACCCTACGCCTCAATCCCTCGATGTCTTTTCTCGTTCGGCAGAATATTTGATATTTCCAAGCTATAAAATTGACTTGTTTCTCTTCAACAAAATGAAGTAATAGCGGAAATTTTGAAGCGGTGCAATGGAGATATATGGTTTCGCACTTTTGCCATCATTTTCTCATCAGGTTACCAGAATTTTCTGTGCTAGGAAGATGGAATTTGCATGAGTGGGCACCGCTCGCAAATGTCTCATTCTTAATATTCTCAGAGATTCTTCTCACTGCGCCCGAGTATCGCAGACAACAGAAATTAGGTATTACATTTAAAAACAAAAAACTCTATATCAATTGCTGCCTTTCAAAATTCTCTTAAAGTAAAATAAGAACCTAAGCACGTGCCGTCTGCATTGTATCAAATGTTCAAGAGGATAGTATCCTTTTTAAGATGGTCATATACAAATCATAAAATTCCACAAATTTAAAATATTCGTATTTTTTGGATTAAAATAAAGTAAGACAGTAAGACCGAGTTTAGCAGAAGCAGAGAAAAAAGTCAAAATAATATTTTTACATTAGCTAAACATGCGCTCAAAAAGAAGAAAAATTCCAGTCTTTTCGATTTCCGAAAGATTTATGCGTCGATTTAGAACAGTGAGAATAACCATTTCATTGTAGAAACTACACTATCTTCGGCTCGGCCATAAAATTACTCATCTGCATAAAGAAACTAATCGCACATACGTTGTTTCTGAAATGGACCAGAAATCGTAGCCTCACAATATTAGTTTAATTTTCCTGATAGTTCCTCTTACAAACATACTTCTTGCCACGATTTTTCGTCTACAGAAATATAGTCATTTATTTGTAGCCGTATGTTGATGACAAGAAATATTAATTCAACCGGAGAGATTCGCACTGACGCGCGTGTTTTACACCCCCGCAAATTTAAAATTCCCGCCGGACTTCAATCATGCAGCGCTACCAACCTAATAACAGCCCTGTACCCTATTACACTTGGTTCTCACTTTAACGTCCCCGTGTCCCGTGTCATGTCTCTTTTTTCATTTTTTTTTCTCTCCAGAATGTATTAAATGCCTTAATCGGTGGAGTTAAAGAAGAGTAAGTAGAGCTTTTTGGTTAAAGAGTATGGAAATCATTGATACACTTTTCTCGAAATGGTAGGGATTTTATTCGAAAGTTTAAAGTCTGAAGGAGGGAAACCGAGACTCAAATCAAATAAAATGACCAAGAAAAAAAAAGTTACTTAGTTTAGCTAGTTACGGTTTTTATACAATTTTGAATCAGAAAATTCTTGACAGTTTCAAAGAAATTTGTACCCTTAATATTTTGTTGCAAATTTGGATAATTTTACATTATAGATAGTTCGGAGTCTTTATTTACTGTTTTTTTTTTCGTCTGCAAACATTGATACCTAAAGTTCTCTCTGAGGAGCTTCCCTTCCTAATTTTTCCTACCCGTGATCATGTAAAGAGCATTATTTTTTGTTTTCAAGTTAGTGCAAAGTTCGAATACACGTGCAAGTGAAGTTTCTATCAGCGGTAGGTATTAGAAAATTTATTTATTAATGTTGTGTCACATTCGTACTAGTATTTTTTATTATTTTGCCAGATTTTTTATTTTTCATATTGAATTATTTAATAAATAATTAAACTTTTCTCCTCCTTTTTTTTTCTTTTTAGAGAAGAAGTAGGGTAAAAAATATGCCGCGTAGTTTAGAAACTGGATTTGATTTCTTGGAAGTCAAACATAAAGATTTATAATTCTTAATCTTAATTTCTTGTCGTTTCGGTGAATATTAACAACGGAAAATTGCTTTCCAGGGAGAGGCGGAAAAATTAAAAATGAAACATTATTTTACCACGGATAAATTATTTAAAAATTATTTAAGAAATGTATATAAAAAAATTGTTTCAATATAGAAAAGTTTTTTTTTTTTAAAAAAAAAAGTAAAACATTATTTTAGCACGAATAAATGATAAATTAAAATTATTCCATAAAAATAAATCAAATAATTTTTTCAATAGAAATTTTTTTTTTAAAAATTAAAAAACGCAATTTTTTTTTTAAAAAAACACTTCAACAAAATTTTAACACACACTCAAAACTAGTCTAAGTCCAGGTTTTCACTGTAGCAGCTAAAGGCGCAACCGTGGCCGTAAAAAGACAACCCGATTCGTCGCGGCGCAAAAACGAAACACAGAAATCCACGTGTGAACACAAGGCAGCACGAAGAAACACAGTATCCATATGCGGGTGAGAACTTACCAAGAATTTCATTTTGATAGGTTTTTTTTTGACGAGTTAGCGAACTGAAGCTTAGGAGCACTTGGAACGTGAATGATTATCTGTGGGGCGACGGGGGCTTTTATAGTCGGGAGTCGTTTTGGTGCCCGACATCCCCCGGTCTTCGGGATCGGCGGGTCGGTTGAGCAACTGGGCAGTGCCGCGCCGGGGGGTTATGTCACCTTCGACGCCTCCCATTGGCTCCTCTCGGGGTCGGGAACATCAGTGGCGAGGCGTGCTTTGATATATCGATCGATCTGCTATTTGAACCAATGGAAAAGAATCGATATACAGGGTGTTTGTAACGAACACCCTAATAATCGGTTCTTCACCACAGCTCAAATGGGAAAATATCGATCATCGATCATTCACGTCTCGCCACTGATCGCGTCCGTTCACTTGCACCATCGCCGCAACTTGTTCCCAACTCCATCGGGGTGCCCTTTGGTTTTCAGTATCCTCTTGTTCTCCCTCGTTTTCTTACTTCTCGACCCGCGTTTTCTTCAAATCTTTTTCGAATTGATCCGTTAAAAATAAAATTTGTATTGTTTCTCTGAAACCACTACGTATTTGTAATGAATATAATTAATTTTGTAAAGAAACGTTTGCTGATCATAAACCAACATTTTTTACCATAATTTTTCAAGTTGATCCATTAAAAATAAAAATTGTATAATTTTTTAAAATCAATATTTCAGATAATACACATTTTTTTTAATTGATCTAATGATCTGTTAAAATAAAAATTGTATTTTCTCTCTGAAATCACTACGTATTTTTGATAAATCTAATTATTATTGTCAAGAAACGTGTGCTAATCATGAACAAACATTTTTACCATATTTTTCAAGTTCGTCCGTTAGAAAAAAAAATCGTAAACAATTTTCAAGTCAATGTTTATGATAATAAATTGGTTTTGGCGGCAATGGATTTGCCGTCCCTATTTTTGGTTGGATTTTTTTTCTGCTTTCATTCGCCAGTGACAAGTGATTTAATAGCAGTTTTCTTGCGTTTTCCTTTTTGCACCATCGCCGCAACTTACTTCCAGCTCCATCGGGGTGACCTTTGATTTTTTAGTCTCCTCTTTTCTTCTCTATTTTCTTACTTCTCAATCCGCGTCTTCCTCAAAATTTTTAAAGTTTATCGTTCAGGTAAAAAAAAAATTAAATAATTGTTTCGGAAAATATTTTGCGCAGAAAAAATTAACACGTACTCGTGATGACACCGTTTTTATTATCTATTAATCGATTTGACATCAGTAGAAAAAGTAGTAATGTTCGTTATTTTTTTCGGGCAAGTGCGTGTCCTTTGAACATTTTTTCGATTTAAAAATCTCGTTGTGTTAAACTAGTTCGTGCAGTGGGGTTCAGAAAATTATCATTTTCGATGCATGGATATTATGAAGACATCGTTGCTTAGTTTGGTTGAATTTTTCCCAGTTTTTCTTTTTTCCCACGATAACTCGTATTTTGTAATAGATTCCTGCGACTTATTTACCTGCAATTTTCTTTCGTTGTAATGTCTCCTTGAAAATGAGTTTAAGAATTCAAGAGGACGATTTCTTCAGCGGCTGTGATCGTTGCTTTTCTCGAATGCGAACCCAGTTTTCAAAAATCAAAGCTCCTGCTGCGTTTCATTTTATTTAATATTTCTTTTATGTCAGAGTTGCAATGTTTTTTACCTCACTTGATAGAGCGACGGAGAGAGGTGGTGCAATTTCCATTTACGTATTTAGTAAATACGGTTCTCATCAAAGTAGAAAAAAATAGACGGCGAAACTGGGAATCGTGTGAGTACACACATCCAACAAGTAACATTTTAATGCAATGATAGCAATGTGGCTGGTGCTTTCTCAAATTTTAAAAATTATGAAAATTAAACAGTGTTTAATTTGTAAAAAATTGTATTTTCATCCGTGCTAAATTCAAAAATCTTGCGTGAAAACTCATTTTATTGATTTTCTCGTGAAAAAATGAACATTTCAAAGCGGCATTTTGTGTAGCGTGCAATCAAAGTGCAGGATTTCGTAGTTTTTTTTCCTTTTCCCCCTTTTTTTAAACTGTATGGCCATAGTTTTGAAGGTTTCATTTTTTGAAGAAAAATTAGCCAACAGCGTTTTAAACAATTTTCTGTAAATTTTCTTCATTTATCCAAAAATATTCCCAGAAAATGTTAGGGGGATACATTATTTAGTTTTTTGTTTTTAAAAAAAATTAATCACAACAGGACATTTTGAAATATCGCAATGGAGCTGTGCCCTATCTGACTTTGGTCAATAGTCATCTATGTAAGTACTCGACAAAATTTTCAAGTACAGTTCTGACTCAACAATGCAAGCAATCCTATGTGACTACCGAAAATTTCTAATAGTATGCGCACCTGACATCTTGCGGAGTTGCGTCTTGAAACAATAAAGAACAGAATGAGATGTGCACGTTGCGTTCCGCGCAAAGTAAGGCGTTTGGTAGTCGTTATTGTCCATCAGTGACTCCATTCTTACCGACACCTCTCGAAGTATAGTTTCTTTATGTTGCGATGTATCTCATCAATGTTTTACTCACAATCAGTCTTAGAAATATACTGAACGCTGTAATCTCTCACTATTTCTTTGAACTTACATTTATTTAAGAGTCACATTAAGAGGTAATCGTGTGCATATATAATGAGTTTAAGCATAAACCTTTTAATGCAGTTTTCCAATTGAGAGCCACGCAACCTGGACGACATTATATCATTGATGATATTGTTTGTATTTTTAAAGACTAATCAACTAAAGATCATTGCCGAAGAAATGCAATGAGAACAATACTCACACACTGAAAGTGGTTAGAGATGAAAAATCGCGGGCCGTGGGACATTCGTTAAGTTTTTGTTTGTGAAGTGATTTTATTATTATCAAAAACTGAGTATATATCTTTCATTATCAGGCCATCGCTCTGAACAATTGGCGTTAAAGAGGAAGGTTAAAAATGAGAGAGGAAAAACTTCATTAATTTTGCGTGAACATGACGAATAAAGGAAAAACATGTCGTGAGACAGCCAGCTACTTCCAATATGAATTCTCAGCATGAAATTCTTTACACTTTGATTACCTATATGTATTTGTGCCTTGCGGCAATGCGATTATTGAATAGCCTAGTCAAAAAGAGCAAAAAAATGTTGGACTAAAAAGATTATCAACATTTGTGTATCCTAAACAAATTAAAACTATTCTTTTTTTCGTGGAAAACCTTTTGGCTATAGAATTTTTAATCTCAATCATGCGCGCATATCAATGAGAATTTTTTTTTTTCCTAGAGGGTTTTTTTTCGTTTAGTTCTTTAAAGTGATACTAAGACTAATTCATTTATTCATAGACCTATGCGCATTACAAACAGATCTTATCATAGTTCGCTAGCTTTAATACTCAGTGTGGCTTGTGCCGAACGCTTGCTTTCTTAGCCGAGCGTTAAAGTCGCCGGCGCTATGTACAGAGTGTCCCAAGAGTTTGGCCCACCCCTTCTAAACTTTTACCTCCTTCATATTTTGAAACGGAACTTTGGGGATGTTCATTGATCAATGTAAGCAAATTATGGGGCCCCTTAAAATTTCCGGGGCTCCCATGAGGTGATGCGGGAGGGGGGGGGGATTACGGGTCCCACCTTTATTTTCAATTGGTAACCACCTGTTCTATATGGCTCTTGCTTATCGCAAAATGAACTCATCAAAATCCGCGAGCTTTTATATTCAATGTTGACTGTGCCGGACGCTTGCTTTCTTAACCGAGCGTAAAAGTCTCCGGTGCTATGCACAGAAAGTCCCAGAAGTCCGGTCTATCTCTTCTAAAATTTTACCTCCTTCATATTTTGAAACGGAACTTCGGGATGTTAATTGATGAATGTAAGCTACTCTCAGGGCCCCCCAAATTTTCCGAGCCCCCTAAAATTTCCGCCCTCCCTGCCACTAGGAAAAGGAGGTGCGGACCCCAACTTTTTTTAGCTGGCAACTTCCTCTTTGGGACACTTCAATCGAAAGAAATTAAGAAAAGAAATTATTTCGCGCAAATCTCAGGTTGTCATTTTGATTTTTGACAAAATGGCAGCCGGTCCAAGTTCCAATCAGGACAAAATCGGCATCTTCGTTTCTTACCGAAAGATTTGCGTGAAACTTTGTATCCTTTGGTTGTTTTGGCACGATTAAACCGAATTTTGCATTACTTTTTCAAAAAAGCTAATTTCTTCTATACATACAATGGTGGCCGTAAAAAAGATCGTTAAAGGAATAACAAAGAGTATCAAAGTTGTTGAGGGGGGGGGGGAAGAGAATACAATTAAAGTCGTTTATCCGTGGATTTGCATTAAAATTAATGTCCGGAGGTTATTTCTTTCGAGAAACCGAAGCCGTCATTGGTTTTCCAAAACACGCTGATTATTTAAATGGCGGCTTCTGAAGAATAAAAAAATTATTTTAGCCATTTATTGGTGGTTTCCTCTAAAACTCGGCACTTGGAAACTTCTGGGCACGAGAACAGCGAGTCCGTACGAAAGTGTTCTGGTATCAGTAGCTCAATTTTGAGTTTTCGTAGAATGATTTCCCTTTTTTGAGGGCGTAATCACATGCAGGTCGTAAAACGGAGGCATGAAACGTACGAAAGAAATAAAAGATCGGAAATTTCCGTGAAATATTTCATGAAATTTCACGAGGCTGTGAAATATTTCATGTTTCTCAGGGGCTACAGTATGCAGCCCGCTCTCAAACACACAAAAATAGAAGGAAGTTATAATTTTTACATTTTGCGGAACATGAAAAGGAACCGATATTTTTCGAGATCTTTCACAAATTTCTGAAATTTCATGAAATATTTCCGTGAAATTTCAAGATTTTATTTGCCACCCTGATCACATCGATACCCAGAGAAAATTAAAAAAATCCGTAAAGAAAATAGTGGTGTAATCGATGTTACTCGGAATTGAGTGGTCACTAACTCACGGCGATCAGATCTTTTCATAGTCACCCACACGCAGCAAATGCATCGCCTATCTGACGTAATGGCGTAACTCAGTTTCCTTCTGAGCCCTGTTCTCCGTATAATTCTATACTTTCCAGGGCCCATG